TTGGTTCCTTCTCCCCTTTTTGCCTTATAGATATCCGAGAGTTGATTGAGGTGGACGATGTCATGGAAGATGATTCCCTTCGGTTCGGCCCCAATGGCGGCTTAGTTTTTTGCATGGAATATTTTGCAAACAATTTTGATTGGCTGGAAGAATGCCTTGGTCATGTGGAAGACGATTACATCCTGTTTGATTGCCCAGGTAAGCCGAGGAAAGGGGTAGGTATAATTTTTCTGGATTCTTGGAGGAAAGATGAGGATCTTCGGTGCTTATTTTGTTTGGGTTTAAGTTTAAAAATGGGCTTTCATTCATCCCTGATAGGGGAACTGGGCGGACAGCACAAAACTTTAATAAGTAAATAAGTTTGATGAAATGTATTAAATTTTATTTAATAAATAGAACTTCCAAGCTGTGGAAATTCAGTGGTTAGAAATCTTTCCGGCACTTTGTGGCCTTGAAATCGTAGCGTGGAAGAAATCCGTAAACTTTAGTATGATTTAACAAAAAAGCACAGAGAGGGAAGATTTATCTCATTTTATGATAGTCAAAAGAGTTTATCTCTTTTGGTTTTTCCAGCACACACAAAATACCCAGTAGGTCTGTGATTGTTCTTGTTTGATATCTGATTTCCCCCCCACCTAGTTTTAAATATTTTCCCTGCGGTTTTCTTCTGTGGAATTGGGAGATGGATATTTGAAACGAATAAACTTATTTGTCCTTTTTAGGTCAGATTGAACTCTACACTCACTTGCCCGTGATGAAACAATTTGTAGAGAAGCTGCAACATTGGGAATTTCACGTCTGCGGTGTTTTCCTTGTCGATTCTCAATTCATGGTGGAATCTTTTAAGGTATTTTACGGTACTGATTCAGAGGTGTTGAAAATTGAAACACACACCCCTACTGTGGACGATCAGCGAGATATTTTTCAGTTTGTCCTGGATGGTGGCAAAATTATCATTTGTTTGCGTTTGGAGTGGCTCTTATGTGGGCATTAAATGGGTAACATTTTGAGGAATGGGGCAATCACAGATCTTGTGTGTGATTTTTCTTTTCCTTTTCCTGCCTGTTTCCGATGATAGTTTATTTCCGGTGCAATGGCAGCTCTTAGCGCTATGGTTTCCTTAGAGATTCCCCAGATCAACATCATGTCCAAGATGGATTTGCTGAGCAAGAAAGCAAAAAGCGAGATCGAAAAGTAAGTGTGAACGAGGAATGGCTCCGCTTTGCTTGGGATTTTGACACTGAGAAGGTTGGTTTCGATCTTCAGCTTCATTCGACCTTCTACATTTCACTTCTTGCCAAGCATAAAAGAAGTACAATTTTATTTATTTTTTTGAAAAAAGCAAACAGTGAAGAGACATAAGGGGGGAAAAAAAAAAGAGAAAAGATCGAAGCGAGCATGGATGTTTGTGTTGGTTTAATCCAGGGGTCTGCAACCTTAAACACTCAAAGAGCCATTTGAACCTGTTTCCCACCAAAAAGAAAACACGGGAGCCACAGAACTGTTCCCGTGCCTGACTATTTCTTGAGCGGCCACAAAACTAGCATATGTAGTTGAATTAAATGTTCTTTTTTCTTCTGAAAATTTTCTTTTCTTGGATTTATCCATGGTTAGCCTACTGGGGGTTGAAAAGCTCAATAAATCATGTGCCCGCGTGTGAGTCACACATTGGCGGTTGTGACGCATATTTTGAGTGACAGGGAGCCACAACAGGGGTGTGAGTGCACATGCGGCTCCAGAGCCGCAAGGTTGCTGACCCCTGGTTTAATCAATCAATCTCAATTTCTTCCAGATATCTGGATCCTGACATGTATTCTGCCTTGGATGATTCCACAGATCTGCTCAAAAGCCGGCAGTTTAAGAAATTAACCAAAGCTATCTGTGGCTTGGTAAGTAACAGTTACAGAGTTGGAAGGGACTTTGGAGGTCATTTAGTCCAACCCCCTGCTCACGCAGGAGACCTGTACTAGGGATTCGAACCGCCGAACTGCTGACCTTTCTGATCAACAAGCTCAGTGGCGGGTGTTTCTTTCCACACGTGGCTCCCTGAGGCCTCTTCTAACCAAAATTAATAGTGCCCTTATTTGCAGAAAATGGGGAAAGATAGTTCCCAAATCTATATATATATATATATAAAAAGTGAAAAAACTCATCACGCCGTAATCACGAAATCTCCAGAACCGTAAAGCCTACAAACTTGAAATTTGCCAAATATGTTCTTCTGGCTTCTAGATGCTCACTGAGAAAGGATTTTTCGAAATTATCATCAGATCATTAGTATTCCAAATACAGTATTATATTCACACACTCTGTTGCTAAGGAGTTAGACGTTCTACTCCCTGGCCCCACCTGAAAAGAACTCTGTTCCAACTGCCAGTTGCCTTATATTAACACGCTCTGATGCTACAGAGTTACACATTCTACATTAAGTTCAGGCGTTACTTGTCAATTTATCAAGTCTAATCACATAGTTTTGTAGTGAAGCACGATCATCCAGCTAGTCCTGAATAAGAGAAGAATAAGACGATCCGTTGGGCTAAGGATGAGGTTAACGACAACCGATCCAGTTTTTTTCTTTTCGAACGGACTTGACGGCGTTGTGTTTCGTTTAGATCGACGACTACAGCATGGTTCGCTTCCTGCCATTCGATCGCTCCGACGAAGAGAGCATCAACATTGTCCTGCAGCACATTGATTTTGCCATTCAATACGGGGAAGATCTGGAATTTAAGGAGCCAAAGGTGAAGGTGCCAAGCCCCTTTGGGCAAAAGTCGGTGTCATTTTCCTTAAGGATCCACCACCCAATTCCAATCCATCTTAGTTCAATCGGATGGGGGTTTATTTTAAACACCTGGAAATTCAATCTGGAACCCTCCACACCTCCAGCTAAAAAAAAAAATGGAGTCGGGATTGGAACTCTGTGCCTGAAAGTAAATAAGATTGGGCGAATTGGTGTATCTTTACCTGTCCTACTTCACAAGGTTGTTGTGCAGGGGGAAAGAGGGAAAAGGAGGAGAGCCTTGTCATCGTGGGATAAACTTAAAGGATATAGATAAAAATCAATGGAATGAGTGACTCTGTGAAGAGTATTTTCCTCTTCACTGGGAATTTTCAAATGGGCTGGATAATCTGTCAGGGTCGGTGTAAATTCTGCAGCGTTGTGGGGGTTGACTTGAAGACCTTTTAGGTTCCTTCCAGTTCTCTGATTCGATGTTTCTGTGTCTAACGAAGTAGCGCGTGCACACAGAGTTTTACAAGGCCAAAAAATAGGATTATCTTGAACCCCTTTCAGGCCTGAAATAAGTAACCTGAGTGCAGGAGCCTTATTCTGGACTAATTTTTTTCCTACCCCGATGCAAAGTATTGTAGAAACATGGATTAGTTTATCTAGAAGGACAGCATATCTTGGCTTTACAAGGAACAGTTGCAGTATAAGCCCTGTGGTCTTTTTTCTCTTGTTTCGGACAGCTGTGAGGTCTTAAATCATTCTAAAATGAAATGTTGTGTTTTCTGCAGGAAAAAGAGGAAGAGAAATCTTCAGCTTTTGACGAATTCTTCCAGGAGGGAGCGGATGAATGACCGCCTTGGGTTTCATTCAAATGCACAGGAGAAGGTGTTGCGTTTCTCCACCTTGCAATTTCAAAATTCACAAACTCTTGGGAGCAATCGAAGAACAGGACTGTTTTTTTTTACCCACAAGGGGGTTAAAAAAAAAAAAAAAGGATCGCGCCACAAAGTTTTATTTTTGGAAGACGTTTTAAGTATGCATTGTAAGAAAAATAAATTATTGTGTTTCGTTTTTCTTCCTCTTGGTGGTTTTCTGAGTGAACGGAAAAGAAACGTCAGGTTTGCCACCGCGGTTTGGTTTACTTAGAAAAACGAAAGGAGGATCCAAACTCAAGGGTTTATTATTTTATTGCAATTACGTGCGGTGTAATTTTGGGGACTTGGATTTAAAACTATTCTCACCCCTCCCTCCTGTGCCAGTGGCAGTCAGGTGCAGGCTGAAATTCAACAGGTGTCACTTTGACCTTCCACAGTACCTGTTTAAAGAGCACTGGAGGTCAGAAAAAGGGAATCTAAAAAACATTTTTTTAATTAATTTTTTGAATATAAATATTAAAAAAGACATACGTAACATATACACAACAACCATTTATACAACATATACACAAAAAGAGTGTAATTTCTTCTTAAGCATTTTTTCAGAGTGACGTTCTACAATTCTACTTATGATATATTCCTTCACCTCTCCTTAATCTAATAACATTTTTATTATATATATTATATATTATATATGTATATATATATTATATATTTTATATATATATATATGTATATATATATATATATATATAATATATATATATATATATATATATATATATATATATATATATATATATATATATATATATATTTATATATATATATATATATACTTCTTTTTCGTAGGCTTTTAGTGCATATTCTTTCTAGCCAGGTTCTGTAGAACTAAGTTTACGTAGGTAAAACCTGGCTAGAAAGAATATGCACATAAAAGCCTACGAAAAAGGAAAAAAGATATATATATTATATTATATATATATATATGTGTGTGTGTGTGTGTGTGTGTGTGTGTGTATATAAATAATAATATATATATATTATTAGCAAAAAATGCTAAAAACATTTTCATACTGGTGATGGCCCTTGTTATTTTTTTAAAAAAAATATAAAAATAAAATAATAAAAATAATAAAAAATAATAATGAAAGCCATCTATCTAAGGCAGGCAGGATGCATTTCCTTGTTGAATTTCAAGCTCTTAAAAGTCCAGAAAAAATCGGCCTCGTTCAATTTTTACAGGAGGCTCCATCTGGCCTCCCAAGCATTTTATTAGCAGCGCCAGATGTGCTGGACTCCACCTCCCACAATGCTCTGCGCCCCTGCCGAGGCATGCCGGGAGTTGAAGTCCTCCGAGCCCGGGCCAGCTGCGCTGCCCTCCAGCGCCCCCTGCCGGCTGCGCGCAGCTGGAAGAGGAAGGAAGGAAACGAGGCCGCCGCTGCCCGGAGATCGCCTCGCCCGAAGCTGCTTCCCTGCCCGGAGGAAACTCCTCTTCTGCCCAGATGCCGGTGAGGGGAAGGGGCAGCCGGCTTGGGGGTCGCCTGGAGGGGCTGCTGCTTGCAAAGGCGAGGCCGGGCAAGGGGGGAGGGGCAGCAAGGCGGAGGCGTTGCAAAGCTGGATGGCTGGGTGTGGGGTTGGGGGTTGGGGTGTGAAGAAAGCAGGAAGGATGATATGGACACACAACTCAAACAAAGCTTGAGTGGTCGTTTGGTGTGTGTGGTTTGTGATTGTCGTGTGTGATGCATGCATGTTCCCCAGAGGTGGGGGAAGCAGGAAGTGCATTGCTGAATAATGTGTGTCATTGGGATTGTGCATATGGGGAGGAGGGGGGGTCTTGCCTCCTCTCCCACCCACCCTAGGGGAATAGAACCCCAATCCTGTTTCTCTGCCCACCCTGGGCTTTGGGGGGGGTGGGTGAGTGGGTGGGTTGCCCCACTATCTCTTTCTCTAGAAACACTGGTGCGGTAGGCAGAGGGGCCACCCCATAACTCCTATTTCTATTCCTGATTTGTAGAGGATGGGGGGGGATGTGGGGCAGGATATTGGGGTCGCCAGGTTAGGGGGGCTCCTGCCAAGAAAAGTCGGTCCTTCGCGGTTAGAACCGCCCGTCTGGCGGTGGGGTAAGCTGGAACGTGGGGCTCCCTGTTTCTCCCCCTTGATCAATGCTGGACTGCGCTTATTTCTTTGGGCCAGGTTGGAACCGGAAGGCTGTAGGTTGCCGACCCTTCTCGACATTTCTAGTCGCTTTCATGCTCTCAAAGCAGATCTGCGGGTGGCAGTTTCTAAGGAGATCCGGAAGCCCCTCTTCCCTCATTCTTTCGCCCACGCGTGGTCCTCCTTCACTGCCAATCAACCCCTCTACCCCCCCTCCCCATCCTCTCTTTTTCACGACAGGCCTATCACTCCACTTTGATGGACCCCGACACCAAACTGGTGGGGAACATGGCTCTGTTGCCCATCAGGAGTCAGTTCAAAGGACCAGCTCCTCGTGAAAGTAAGTCCGTTCTCGGAGAATCTATTCTAGCTTGTTTCCAACATTGGATTCTTCAATGTTGGCTCAGCAGACTAAAAGCATTGTGATTAACACCAGCTGTCTGCAATTACTGTAAATTCGAATCTCACCAGGCTCAAGGTTGACTCAGCCTTCCATCCTTTCTAAGGTAGGTAAAATGAGGACCCAGATTGTGGGGGCAATAAGCTGACTTTGTATAAAATATACAAAAGGATGAAGGTTATTGCTTAACGCATTGTAAGCCGCCCTGAGTCCCCAGAGAAGGGCGGCATATAAATCAAATTAAAAAAAAAAAATTAGAAATGTTGAGATGAGTAGACTTCAACTCCCAAAATTCCCCAGCCAGCTAATCCAATGGCTTGAAAAAAAATCACTGGTTCTAGGAGAAAATATTTGGGGATATTTTGGATTTTTGCATCCGCTCCTGTTGGTCAGTGCCATTAGTATAACATAAAATATTGTCATTGTGCAATTGTTAATCCTCTGGGTTTATTATTAGAAACATATAATGAAGTATTAGAACATGCTAAGATACCAAAATCTTGGGCAGAGGTTTTAATAACATTTATTCCCAAAAGCAATACTGAAAAGCAGAAGATCCAAAATTAGAATAGAATAGAATAGAATGAATCGAATCGAATCGAATCGAATCGAATCGAATAGAACAGAATAGAATAGAATAGAATAGAATAGAATTTCTGCCCAATAGACACATAAAAAAAATAACATAAGAACCTCTGGATCTTTTGCACAGCACAGAAGTGTTAATAATAAGCGAATGTATTATGCTGCAACAGCTTCCTTGTAGGGAAATGTTTGTGGTTGATTTTTACGGAATGTTTTTTTCTTTCACATTGACTCAAAAAATGTTGGGTTTCCTTTTTTTCTCACCAGCAAAAGATATGGATATAATCGATGAAGCCATCTACTACTTCAAAGCCAATGTGTTCTTTAAAAATTACGAAATCAAGGTAAGGGTTCTTAAAAAGTGTTCCCCACAAATCTCCCCGTGAGAGATGAAAGGGAAAAATAAAATAAGAGAGCGAAAAAAGTTCCTTTTTGAGAGGAGGAAAAAAAAAAAAGTAGGCTTGACGTTCCATCTTAAATTCTCTTTCTTTATGCAGAATGAGGCTGACCGAACCTTGATCTACATAACTCTCTATATTTCGGAGTGCTTGAAAAAATTGCAGAAGGTAAGGAGAGGGTTGATGGGCTGGGGGTTTCGTGATGCTTTAAAATAAAAAGCAGTGCCATTTTTTAAGTAAATAAAACCAAAAAAAGAGCTCAGAAACCCAAAGAAATAAAATGTAATGCAAATTGTAAGATGATTGAGACATATATTTTTTTTCCCTAAACACAGCCTGCTCCTAAAAAGGGCTTATGTCAGAGAAAAAATTTACTGAAATTGGTTTTTATATTTTCATTTTTGATTTTCTTTTCAGTGCAATTCCAAAGGCCAGGGGGAAAAAGAAATGTATACTTTGGGGATCACCAATTTCCCGATTCCTGGAGAACCGGGGTTCCCACTGAATGCTCTTTATGCCAGACCCAGCAACAAGCAGGAAGACGGTAAGGGGAGAGAAAAAAGGAAAATTGCAAGCTAGTGTACCCAAATCTCATTCATAAAACACGGCTAGTTAGATATAAGAACACCTGAGGTTTGCACAGCTCACTTCTGTGTATAGCTTTGGGATAATATGCGACTCAGCCATAGTTTAGCTGTTTTTTCCATGTCACTGAAAATCAAGGTTTAATTGGAAATTTTCCCCCTCCTGTTGGCAAAGGAATGCTGGGTTTATTTTATTTTATTGGATTGGATGATTAATCAATTTACAGATCTATGCCAGAGCTCGGTTTCCCTGCATCTGATCCGCGATTTAAACATCTGTCCAAAAATATGGCTGGCTGGTTTAAATCCATCCATTAGAAAGTCTTAATCTTGCTTTAAAATGGGCTCTCAGAGAAAAAGCCAGATATTTTGCAAAATAAATAAATAAATAATAATTCTAAAAAGCTGGTGGTTTGGGACAAAAGGGAGAATCTTAAAGCTTTAATTCTTTGACTTTCAAGTGCTCTAACAGGATCCGTTTCTACGTAGCTGACTGTGTCCGTTTTCTACTTTCAGAGGTTATGCGAGGGTATTTGCAGCAACTGAGGCAAGAAACCGGCTTGAGGCTTTGCGAAAAGGTTTTCGATCCCCAGAGTGACAAACCCAGCAAGGTGAGAGGCTCTTCCCGTTTCTGCTTCCGCTCCTTTTCAAGACTTAACAATAGCAGGTTGCTTTTTAAAGAAAAGAACGGAAAAATAGTTGAAATATTGGGTATATTTCAAGACTGCATCAATCCTAAGATTGCTTATTCGGAGTTCAGCCACCGAAAGTGAGCCTCGGGTCTTGGAAATGGGTTTAAGTGACTGTTGTGGTTTTTGATGACAGCTGCTTTTCTGTTTACTTATCTTTTCTTGTTCTCTCCTAGTGGTGGACCTGTTTTGTGAAAAGGCAATTCATGAACAAAAGTCTGTCAGGACCAGGGCAGTGAAGACAACGGTTAAATCTGTGGTTACAGCATTCTCTGTTCCCAGGGTGATTTGAATTATTGCTTCTGTTTTAATATAAGTTTTCTACCGAAAGAGAGGAGGAGTTTCTGGATGCCAGGCTACTGATGGGAGGGAGGATGGAGCTTTAAAAGAAAAAAAATCACGTGCAATTTTTGTCAAGCTTGATAATAAATAAAAACAAAAGTTCTTTCTAATAGTTGTCTGTATTTGCTCTGAGACCATCCAGCTCGAATTCAGAAGACCTCAGTTATTATTCTTAATGGCTGAGAATTACATTAAGGGAGGTGACGTCCAGAAGGCATTGGGTAGGGAAGGCTGGTGTGCACTTTTAATAGATTTGCAGGAAATCTGCTCCCAAGTTTAAGTCCTATAATGGACTGTGAGAGGGATCTTGGAGTCTTAGTGGACAATCAGCTAAATATGAGCCAGCCGTGTGCAGCGGCAGCCAAAAAAGCCAATGCAATCCTAAACTGCATTAACAGAGGGATTCAATCAAGATCAAGTGAGGGTACTAATACCACTCTATAAAGCCCTAGTAAGACCACACGTAGAGTAATGCATCCAGTTTTGGTCACCACACTATAAAAAAGATGGTAGAAAGAGTGCAGAGGAGAGCAACCAGGATGATGAGGGGACTGGAGGCTAAAATATACGATGAACGGTTGCAGGAACTGGGCCTGGCTGGTCTAGTGAAGAGAAGGACCAGGGGAGACAGGAGAGCATCTTCCAATATTTGAGGGGCTGCCCCAGAGAGGAGGAAGAGGGTCAAGCTATTTTCCAAAGCACCCAAAGGAATAATGGATGGAAACTGACCAAGGAGAGATTCAACCTGGAAATAAGGAGAAATTTTCTGACAGTGAGAACAATCAATTGATGGAACAGACGTTACCTTCAGACGTTGTGGGAGCTTCATCCCTGGAGGCTTTCAAGAAGAGACTGGACTGCCATCTGTCGGAAATGGCGTAGGGTCTCCTGCTTGAGTGGGGGTTGGACTAGATGACCTATAAGGTCCCTTCCAACTCCTGTTAAATCTGTTCATGGAAGGATTGCAGGGCAAAAAAAGGAGCACACCAACAATTGCATCGCATTGTCTCCAAGAAAACATGCACAAAAGGTGCAAAGAGCCACTCTGTGAGTTGTGGGGGGGGGCATATAAATATATTAAATACATAAATAGTCATTTTAGCAATAAATTATAAATTATAATTATAAATAAATTATAAGTTTATTATAGCCCATTGCTATATATAAGGGGCTATATATATAAGGGTCCACCTTCCTCCCATCCTTATTTATTTTCAAATAAAAACTTCCTGCAAAGGCCTGGCACGACCCAACACTGCCTGTCTACAATCATACATGGTGAAGGGCTTTGCAATATAGTGCTGGGGGCGCCCGGTTGGCGAAGGAAGCAGGTGCACTTACTGCGCATGCTCGGAAGGTAGCGTTCTCCCGTTTCCTATTTTATACAGGCCGGTTTTGGGCGAAGTGTCTAACTCAGTGCCTGATTTATACGAAGGATAAAGGTCGTACACGGGTATGTTTATTTTTTAGAAGAAGGGAGTGAAATCCGCGGCGTGGTGGGTGCCTTCCCTAGTGTGGAAAAAGCGGCCGCTCCTGGATTTATTTATTTTATTTTTTGTGTGTGACAGGCGTTGAGTTAGGCAGCCCCGCCGAGGGGGGCGTGGCGGGCGGTGTCATGGCCGCCCTCGGCGCGAGGACCCCTCGAGGAGGCGCCATTTTAGAGGCCTGTGGCCGATTTTCGCCGCCGCCGCTTCGCTTCGCTTCTCCGCCGCCATGAGCGTCGTGGATCATGTGCGGGAGATGGCGGCCGCCGGGCTCCACTCCAACGTGCGGCTGCTCAGCGGCCTCCTGCTCACCATGAGCGGCAACAACCCGTGAGTGAGGCGGGGGGGCCCCCCGGAAGTGAAGCGGGGAAAGGAGACCACGCAGCGATCGACAGGAGGAAAAACAACAACAACAACAAAGGAAGCCCTGCAGCTCACATCCTCCCATCGCTTATAGGGCTGGGGATGATGGGCGTGGGGATTCCACAGCAGTACTTCTCAATCTTGGCAGCTTGAAGATTGGGGATGGAGGACTACAACTCCCAGTTTGGCTGGCTGGGGGGATTCTGGGAGTTGTAGTCCTCTCCCACCAGTCTTCAAGCTGCCAAGGTTGAGAAGCATTGGTCTTCTAGGCACTATGGGAGGTTGGCTCAGGAGGATGGGATAGGGAATCTTAAGCAGGGTGGGCAGCCATCCAGCGAGAAGGCAGGTGCGCTGGCTGAGAGCGATGGGAGTTCTAGTGTCCCCCATCTTCAGCCTCAGCCAAGGTTGAGAAACGCTGCTCTAGACACTGTGAGAGGCTGGCTCAGGAGGATGGGATAGGGAATCTTAAGCAGGGTGGGCAGCCATCTGGTGAGAAGGTGCTGGCCGGGGATGATGGGAGTTCTAGCATTCCCCCATCTTCAATCTCGGCTGAGGTTGAGAAACGCTGCTCTAGACACTATGGGAGGTTGGCTCAGGAGGATGGGATAGGGAATCTAGGCAGGGAGTGGTCGGGCTGGGAAAGATGGGACTTGTAGTATGTGAGCCCTGCTGAAAGAAGCTGGGTGCGGGTGGGTGGGTGGGGGAAACCTTACCTTGCAAAATATTTGGGGTAGAGTTTGCCTCCTGGGCTGCCTGGTCCTGCTGCGTTGCTTCTTGTGCTTGGGCCTACCTCGCAGGGTGGGTGTGCAGGGAGAGGCTGACGCGCTCCGACGGCGACTCTTCAATCTCCGCTTGCCTTTTCTTGCAGGGAGCTCTTCTCCCCCTCGCAGAAGTACCAGCTGCTGGTCCACCACGCCGACTCCCTCTTCCACGACAAAGAATACCGCAACGCCGTCAGCAAGTACACCATGGCTCTCCAGCAGAAGAAGGCCCTGAGCAAGACCTCCAAAGTCCGGCCTTCCACTGGCAGCGCGGCTTCCACTCCCCAGAGCCAGGTGGGTGCAGGGCCCACCCGCCTGGGCCTAACATTGATGGTTTAGGACAGGGGTCTCCAACCTTGGCAGCTTTAAGACTTGTGGACTATAACTCCCACAATTCCTCAGCCAGCTGTCTTTGGTGTAAGCCGCCCAGAGTCCTCGGAGAGTGGGCGGCATAGAAATATGAATAATAAAATAAATAAATAAATAAAATAAAATAAATTTAGATAAATGGGAAATTATTTGGAATAAAAACTATAAGTTAACCAAATCAGCAGCATACAAGGAAAATCAATACAAAATGCTATATCGTTGGCATCTAGCGCCTGCAAGATTGGCGAAAATATATCCGAATTTAAGTCCTAACTGTTGGAAGTGTAATCATCACCAAAATACCTTCTTTCATACGTGGTGACTATGCCCCAAAGCGAGGAGGTATTGGAGCAAAATACAACGCTGGTTGCAAGAATTAATTAGCTGCAAAATTGAATTAATTCCGGAAACATTTCTCCTGGGTGTATTAAAAACCAAATATGACCAAAAAAAATAAGATACTTGATTTTACACATAGCAAGAATTGCCTATGCGCAACATTGGAAAGGAAACAATGTACCACCAGAGGGATTAATTATTCAAAAAAATATTTGAATGTGCCGAAATGAATAAATTAACTTTAGAATTAAAAGAAAAAGAGGATTCAGAATATTATGTGGTGTGGGATAAATGGTATAGGCGGATTGATAACCGAAATAAAAACAGATAATGTTTAGAAGAAAGTTAAAGATGTACATATATATATATATATATATATAATGTAAAGTTTACATGAATAATGAATCCAACCTGTTTTTGGATTAATGACACTGTCTGTTCGATTATATATTGGAATTTTGAAAAAGAAAACTACAATAAAAATATATTAATAAAATAAAAGAAACAGTGAAGATACGCCTGCTTTTTTTTCTAGTGCCTGCCTTCTGAAATCGAAGTGAAATACAAAATGGCCGAATGCTACACCATGTTAAAGCAAGACAAAGATGCCATCGCCGTCCTTGATGGCATTCCTTCCAGACAGAGGACCCCAAAGGTAGGTTCCTCTCTCTGGATTGAACCTGGGTGATGGGTTTTTTTTTTCTGGCACCTGAGGCGTTCACACACAAGGACGCCGCTTTGCCGCCAAACTTAAGGCGCCGTCGCAAAGCCGGAGCCTTGTGCGTCAGTGGTTGGGGGGGGGGTGTCTCTGTTGAAAGCTTTGCTGGAGTTGCTCTGTTTTTCCTCTTGCAGATTAACATGATGCTGGCCAGCTTGTACAAGAAGACGGGCCAAGAACGTTCTTCGGTGACCAGTTACAAGGAGGTTTTGAGGCAGTGCCCACTGGCTCTCGATGCCATTCTAGGTAGCTCCCCCCCTCTCCTCCTTCCTCCGTTGCTTGTCGCCGTTGGCAAGGAATAAAATTGGCTAGTTTGACATTGAGGTTTGGCCAAGTGTCAAAATTCTCAGGGGAAGGGATGCTGGAACGCTTCCGAGTGAGCGTAATGGACTCGGGCCTTACCGTCTTTGGAGATCTGGAGATTAAGGGCGGGAATGGTAGGAAACCGCCTTTTGTGGTTCGGTTTTACCAAACCTTGAATTATTCATTTGGTCTCCTCCGGCCACGCTGGGTGGGCTTCAGCTCCCATGAAACTCTCAAACCTGGCCTGGTGGCGTTCAGCTGCCAGATCGAGCCTGCTTTTGTCAGCCTGGACACATCGTAACCACGGTCTGTCCTCATCTAGGCTTGTTGTCGCTCTCGGTGAAGGGCGCAGAAGTGGCTTCCTTGACCATGAATGTGATTCAGAGCATCCAGAATCTGGATTGGCTTTCGGTGTGGATCAAAGCGTACGCCTTTGTGCACACGGGCGATAACACCAGAGCCATCAACACAATCTGGTGAGCACACCCAGATCGAGATGGCGGTGGTTGAATCTCGATTGGGACGCAGGAATCCTTGGCACCGAAACGTGAAGTGTAAAATCTAGAATGCGTTTTAATTTCTCCCCCCTTCCTTTTGTTCGTTAGCGATAAGGACTCCAGAATATTGTTTTACAACAAGTCCTTTTGTTGTTGTTGTTTCTGTTTTTTCCCCCGCAAAGCTCGCTAGAGAAGAAGTCCCTCCTGAGAGATAATGTGGACATATTGGGCAGTTTAGCAGATCTGTATTTCAGAGCCGGGGATAACAAGAACGCCATCCTAAAATTTGAACAGGCCCAAATGTTGGATCCATATTTAATCAAAGGTAAGGCTCCAGAAAATAGGGACAACTGTTTGGGTCCTTCATTCAAGTTGGCAATTTGAAAAATTTTATGATTGGTGAGAAAGGAAATATGAATAAGGGTATAGAGATAAAATAGATAGAGAACAGATGGGAGAAAACTATTAAAAAAATAGATACCCAGTTGATGCCAAGTAAAAGGAGAAAGGGGAGGGGGGATAAAAGGGGAAAAAAAGTGAGATATTATAAAAATGTACACAAATAATGAAATAAAAATAAATATTAATCGAATAAGAAATTGAAATGAGAATAAAGATAAATAGAAAATTGGGGCTGTTCGAATACCACTTTAGATTGAACTGAAAAGGGAAACGAGAGAGGGGAAGGAGTAGAGAGAGAGGAAGGAAGAAGGGAGGAGGAGAGGAGAAAGAAAGGGAAAAGGAGAGGAAGAAAAGGGAGGGGAAAGAGGAGTAGAAGAGAAGGATAGAAGGGGGGAAGAAGAGTGGAGTGGGGGAAGGGAAGGGGAAGCAGTAAAGAGAAAGAGAGGAAGAAAGAAAGACGAAAGTAGGAGGCTGAAAGAGGAAGGAAGAAAGAGAAGGGGAGGAGAGGAAGAAAGATTGGAGTAAAGGTCAATGGTAAATGAGCAGCCCCGAAAAAGTAAAAATTAAAAATGAAAGTTAAAAGATAAGGTGAATGAAAAATGATGGATAAATGACTGTACATGTAAATGTGTTTATGAGAAATTTTGCCACTGTAATAAAACAAAAACACTCGGTTTATAACGGCAGTGAAGATGAAAGAAGAATTAGAGCAAATTCAGGATGCTTACTGAAATTTGGCAAATGATTAAATCTCAGTTGTAATTGGATGGAAAATATATGCAATTGAACATGGATACATTAGCAGCATGGAGAATTCTTTGCGCTGCTACTGCACTTGGGCAAGAATATTCAGGGATAACAAATGTGATTAAAATATGAAGGTTAATGTTTTCCATTTAAACACTTAAATTACAATAAAAGAGATCTCCAGTTTTATCGTTTTGCAAATTTGTGTACAGGGCGGATTTGATTTAAATCAAGCCGATTTAAATCACAATTAAAATCACCAGTAAAAAGGCTTGATTTAAATCAACTCGATTTAAATCATAATTTTTAAAGAGCAACTGGCATCTCTGTCCTGCAGCAGCTCCTCCTTTGATCCGCTGTTGACTCACCGACAGTCTCAATATTGCAAAATATATAGCCTCATGCTACATAACTAAGCTCCTATTAATTATGTAGCATTAGGCTATATATTAGTTATTAGCTCCTATTTCATGCTGGATAAACTAAATTATAAATGGATCTCAAACAGAAACCTATCTTTAGATAGATTTTTTTTTTATTCCAAAAGCATTTTATTAAAATAAATTTGATAAACAATTTTAAAAATCTGATTTTTTTTAATTTAAAAAAAAATCATCAATTTTTATCCACCCTGTTTGCCTACCCATGAAGAGGGGATCTCCAAGCCCTTCTCTGGCATTTCCAAAATACTGTATGACCGAAAAGAGATCATCTTTGTTTTGTTTGTGCACCTTAGTTGTAAGAGATGGATGGATTTGGCCTCTGGGATCTCTTCAGATGAAATGGTGGTGGCTGTCAGGGTTCCAACAGATGCCCTAATTAAATAATGAGCCTCGAGCCATGCTTCAAAAGAAATCCAGTTATTTATTAGGATTAGAACGTGTCGGCACGTTCCCAAATGAAGCCAACTCTGACCCAACATAATTTACAGTCCCAATCATGACCCTATTTCCCCCCTCCCCCCAGGGTGTGTCATCAATCACATTCGCCAACGGAGCAATTTCGCGGGTTGTAGAGATCACTCCCCTCCGCCGCTGTGGATAACCCTGGGAGACAACCTTGAGAAAGTTTACGTCTGGAATGTGCTCCTGTCTTTGGCTGCCTGCTGCTTCGTCTGTTTCCCCTCCCCCTTGCCTATGGCAGGCCAAGGATGCTTTGCGAGTTGACATTCAGCTCCCCTCACTTCCTGAGTGAGTTTTGAGTGGTTTTTATTGTTCTTCTAAAATTTTATTTTTCTTTGCATTTGCGTTTCTTAGGAATGGACGTCTATGGTTATTTACTGGCTCGGGAGGGTCGCCTTGAAGATGTGGAGAACCTTGGATGCCGGCTGTTCAACATTTCCGATCAGCATGCCGAGCCTTGGGTTGTCTCAGGGTAAACATTACCATTCCTCCTTTCCTCCAAAATGTTCAGAATCCATCCTGAGCTCCGTTTCAGGCTTCCCTCCTACTCCTCTTTCCTCAGCTGCCACAGCTTCTACAGCAAGCGCTACTCGCGGGCCCTGTACCTGGGGGCCAAAGCCATCCAGCTGAACAGTAACAGCGTCCAGGCCCTGCTGTTGAAAGGGGCCGCTCTACGGAACATGGGCAGAGTGCAGGAGGCCATCATCCATTTCCGCGAAGCAATCCGGCTCGCCCCGTGCAGGCTGGACTGCTACGAAGGTGAGCGCCTGCGTGGGGTAAAATATTTTGAGAAGCCTCCAAATCCCCACCGGGTGGGAATGGAGGCTCTTGGTTTCCTTTTGGGACATCTCTGATCTTCTGCGTAGAGATCGATGGACGCCGCTGAAGGTCTCTGGAGAGGCTGAATCATCCATGGTTGTCCCACAGGTGCTTTCCAAAAGGCCAACAAAATGTCTCGCTTCTCATTCAAGAAGCTTTTTCAAGAACTGAAGAAGCTCCTTGGATGAGAAGTGAAACTTTTTCAAGGAAAAAAAACCCAAGGAAGTCCAGTTGGCCTTTTGGAAATTAATTAATTAATTAATTTATTTATTTATTTATTTATTTATTTATTTATTTATTTATTTATTTATTTATTTATTTATTTATTTATTTTTCAATTTATATACCGCCCTTCTCCGTAAGGACTCAGGGCGGTGCACAGCCAGAATTTTGAGACATCTCTGAAGCTTTGAGCTTTCTACTCCTTCTGCTGAACTTGGCACTTGCTTTGTTTCTTTTTTTTTTTTTAATTTTATTTTTATATAAACAATCCGTTTTCTATTAACCCGTGTGTCGTCTGGGTACAAATATTTTTTGCCGACATTAAAATATACAATCTTATTCATTGTTTAATCTCATCTTGGCTTAATTTCCAATACTTTATCTAATATTATAACAATCCCATTGTGATTTATTGAACTCTATTAATTATATTAACTATTAATACATTTTCTTTTACTACTAATTTTTATGTCTATTCTCTAACCACCGGTAAAAAGATTCCCAAATTGTATAATAATCAGTTCGTTCTTTCTCTTTGATAGCCAGTGTCAATCTGTTCATTTCTGCACATTCTAGTATTTTCCTAATCACATTCTCATCTGTAGGGATCTCTTCACTTTTCCAATTTTGTGCAAAATACAATCGTAGCTGCTGTTACAACATGAATAATGAAATATATGTTTTCTTTACTATAATTTTCTGGTAAAATCCCCAGCAAAAATATTGCAGGTTTTAAGTCAATATGTTGTTGTATCATCTTTTCCAGCCACATATGTGTTTTAGTCCAATATATTTTTTTTGCTTCTGCGCAGGTCCACCACATATGATAGTAAGTGCCCGGTATTTGGTGGCATTTCCAACATTTAGCTGATTTGTCTTTAAACAAGACAAAGCCCTTGCTTTGTTTCTGAGCTGCTCCTTTCCTCTTCACTGGTTCTTCATCAACCTCTTTTGCCCTCCAGGTCTCATCGAGTGCTATCTGGCCTCCAACGGCCTCCGTGAGGCCACCGTGATGGCCAACAACGTCTACAAGACCCTGGGAGCCAACGCTCAGACGCTGACCCTCCTGGCCACCGTCTGCCTGGAGGATCCCGTGGCCCAAGAGAAGGCCAAGACCTTGCTGGACAAGGCCCTGATGCAACGCCCCGATTACATCAAAGCCGTGGTCAAGAAGGCCGAGCTGCTTAGTGAGTCAGCTTCCCCTCCCCCCCTTTCTCTCTTTCTCGCTGACCGAGAGGCCATCTAAACGGGCTGGACTTCATCCAAGGGAGCCTGTCCACTCTTGGAAGGCCAAGGGAACAGATCTGCAGAAGCCGGAATTTGCATGGGGGTTTTGCTTGTTGGTTGATGGGTTTGTTTATTTATATATCCTGCCTTTACTACTTTTATAAATAACTCAAGGCAGCGAAGACGTAACAATACTCCTTCCTCCTTCTATTTTTCCCCATAACAACAATTCTGTGGGTTGGGCTGAGAGAGGGAGGGACTGGCCCAGAGTCACCCAGACAGCTTTCAGGGCTAAGTCGGAACTAGAACTCCCGGTCTCCTGGGGACTGGCCCCAAATCGCCCAGCTAGTTTTCGTGCCTAAAGTGGGACTAGAACTCCCAGTCTCCTGGTGATTGGCCCCAAATTGCCCAGCTGGCTTTTGTGCCTAAAGTGGGACTAGAACTCCCAGTCTCCCGGTCATTGGCCCCAAATTACCCAGCTGGCTTTTGTGCCTAAGGTGGGACTAGAACTCCCAGTCTCCTGGTCATTGGCCCCCAAATTGCCCAGCTGGCTTTCAGGGCTAAGTCAGGACTCGAATTCATCGTCTCCTGCCTCACCCTCCTCCTACAGCCTGGTGTTGTAACCACTACTAGACCAAGCTGGCTCTTACAGCACCGTTTGTTGGGCCGCGTTTAATTTTCCTTTCCCAACAGGCCGAGAACAGAAGTACGATGACGGGATCGCTCTGCTCCGCAACGCCTTGGCCAACCAGAGCGACTGCATCCTGCATCGGATGTTGGGTGACTTCCTGGTGGCCGTCAACGAATACCAGGAAGCCATGGACCAGTACAGCATCGCTTTGAGGTAGCCCTTCTAAACTCCCGGTTGGCTTCCGCCTTAGTTCCCCTCCTTCTCCGCTCTCCCTTAACGCTGCTCTGTGTCTCGTTTTTTCTGCAGAAAAGCCGCGGCCTCTTAAAAAGAGGGTTCTGGGGCCTTGCTTATTCTCAGTAGTAGTAGTAAGGAATATTAGTACCGTATTTTTCGGCGTATAGGACGCACCTTAGTTTATGGGGAGGAAAATAAGAAAAAAGCTGATTGGCAGGTGGATCGGCCTCCCCTGAATAGCCCCAATCAGCTCTCCCCAGAGGTGAATTTTAGCAACAGGTTCGTTGGTTGTGAGCTCTGTGCCTTGCTTTTTTTTCCTGCCTCTGAAACAGCTTCAGAAAAAAAAGCCTCTAAAGCTCTGTTTGGAGGCTTTTTTTTCTGAAGCTCTACTTGGGGGCTTCTTTTCTGAAGCTTCGTTTCTGATGCTTTTTTCAGCCTCTGAAACCTCCGTTTGAGAAACAGGCGGGGCTACATTCAGAGTATAAGACACACCCAGATTTTCACCCTCTTTTTTGGGGGGAAAAAGGTGCGTCTTATACTCCGAAAAATACAGTAAGTCCTCGACTTACTATCACCATTTGAAGAAGTTCATGCTTTGAAGCCTGCTTTTTCAAAAAAAATTCCTTTGGGGGTTCAGTTCAGCCCTCTTTTTTTTCCCCCATCTTTTTAGAAAAAAAAACATCCTTTGATTCTCCTTTCAGATAGATTGTTCCACTTGGATGAATAATCATCAGAGCTTCCCCCCCCTCAACTTGACTTAAACGTTTTCATTTTTAATACGGTAGAAGCAGAAATCCTCAAAAGGTTCCTTTCTGCATTTGAACCTCCAGGCAAAATCCCCCTCTCCTTTCACCCCCTCCCAAAGCAATCCTTCGGGGACGCCGTGAGACTCGGCAGGCCAGGTGAGGATTCAAGGCAAGGACCCCCCCCCTCCCTCCCTCCCTCCCCAGGCCATGATCTTTTCTGCCTCCCCTCCTCCCCAGTTTGGATCCCAACGACCAGAAGTCGCTGGAAGGCATGCAGAAAATGGAGAAAGAAGAGAGCCCCACCGACGCCACCCAAGAAGAGGACGTGGACGACATGGAGGGCAGCGGAGAGGAAGGGGACCTTGAAGGCAGCGACAGCGAGGCGGCCCTGTGGGTCGATCAGGAGCAGTGGTTCCGTGGGCAGTGAGGGAGCCGCGGACGCACGGCGCAGCACTTAAACACGCCGGGGGGGCGTCTGGTGTCCTTGCCTTCCTTGGCAAGGACAGGAATGTGGATTGAGAGACAGGCCGAGGCCCGGACCCGTGAAAACAGAAGAATATTCTGCTTCTCCGTCATGCGTGTCATGCTATTTATGGACCGCGAAGGCTGAGCAGCTCGTGTTTTAGGGGTGGGGAGCAAAGAGGCTCCGGCCTCCCAAGTGTAATTTCGAGTCCTTTCTAAAATTAGACCCCCTTCAAAGAAATTCTTAAAAGCCTTTTTCCGAACATGCCTTTGGAAATCATCGCAAAAGTAATTTACGCTTTATCCCCAGCGGCGTTAAGGGCGGGAAGCTATTCTTTGGTGGAAGAGAGGCTTTTCTTTGGAGCCTTTAGAGGCCCAAACGCCTCCAGGAACTGGCAGTGGGGGGTTCGAGGGGGGTTGGAGAAGCATCTTTTTCCAGCTTTTCTCCCCAAACTCCTGAGTTTTGAGTGGCAGGTTGAGCGTGCATGTTTTTTGAAAACGGAAGCGTGCTGCTTCAGGATACCGATTGAAAAACGACTGTCGAACGTAGAATTCAAGGTGGTTTTTTTTTGCTGTTTTTTTTTTTTACAAAGCTTAATGCGTGAGTGACTTTCCTTTTGGATATTTGTGGATATTAGATATAGCGGGCTGGACCAGCGCCAAGCAAAGAACAGGCGTGCCAAGGCGTAATCCCAATTAGTCCAAATTAAGCTTCATCCCTTCCCTAGAAAAAGGAGTATTAAAAATTCGATTTTCTGTTTCAAATTCCGATTTGGCTCCCATTAAATGACTCCGTTTGGCCACAGGTTACGCCGGGCTAATCCCGGGTGTTCAGCGTTTTCTCAAAGGAATGAGTAGTCCCCGGGATTCTCTTTTTTGCACTCCCCCTCGGAACTTTTTATTTCTTGGTTATGTTCGGGGGGGTGCTTCTCACATGTACCCTTGTAAGTAATATTTCACCATTTCTTGAGAATAAATGTGTACTGTTCTGTTGAAATAAACTGCCTTCATCCGTTTTGGTAACTCGACCTGTCGCGTTATTGTCATGTCCGTAAAAGTGTTTTTATTATCCGTTTTTCTCTTTTAGAATAGAATAGAATTCTTCATTGGCCAAGTGTGATTGGACACACAAGGAATTTGTCTTTGGTGCATACGCTCTCAGTGTACATAAAAGAAAAGATACGTTCGTCAACAATCATAAGGTACAACACTTAATGATAGTCATAGGGAACAAATAATCAGGAAACAATATCAATATAAATTGTTAGGATACAAGAAACAAGATTAGTCATACAGTGATAAGTGGGAGGAGATGGGTGATAGGAACGATAAGATTAATAGTAGTGCAGACTTAGTGAATAGTTTGACAGTGTTGAGGGAATTATTTGTTTAGCAGAGTGAAAAAACTGTCCTTGTGTCTAGTTGTTCAGGTGTGCAGTGCTCTATAGCGTCGTTTTGAGGGTAGGAGTTGAAACAGTTTATGTCCAGGATGTGAGGGGTCTGTAGATATTTTCCCAGCCCTCTTTTTGACTCGTGCAGGATACACAAGTTTTTTAGTGGACTTTTAGCTCTGTAAATTACAGGTTTATCTTATTCAGTTATTTAATGTTTCTTTCTTTCTGTTGAAAACTAGTAAGAATGAAAACACCCTAAACGTGGGTTTTGTTTTTTTCAAGTATCTTTAAAAAAATTTAGAAGTATGCCGTGGCTGAATCACATCATTCTGCCTCTTAGCTTATTTTCAATAGGTGAAAATGTTATAATTTATTTTACATCGAACGGAGCCCGGCTGAGCTCTTTGCACCCGACAGGTGAAGGCTAATAATTCCTGCTTACCGGCCCATGTTTTGTCCCTAATATTTTTTTGGACAGGCCGCCTCTGGTCTTGCAAAGGGTGGGCGGGCTTAATCACTAACACTTAACACTGGGAGCCTTGCATGTTTCACAGCGGTGACAGGTGTTTACATCATTAAACCCGTGTTTAAAATTACCGACCGCTTTCTTTCCGTTCTCCAGCGTACAGAGGAACCTTAATGGCCTTGAAAAATGACAAGCCCTTGAATCACAAAAGAAGCTGGGCTTTTCTTTTCGCAATTATGATAATTGCGATTAGATTTCAGGCTGTGACTTAAAGACGCCCACGACGGCCCTGGCTGTGAATCGCTTGCTCCAAAAAGCTCGGAAGTATTGTATAGCGAAGGGACGAACAAGGGTGACATTTATTTCTCATGCCAGAAATGGGGACAAAGTGCCCCCCGTTTCCCTGAGCAACTGAGCTGTGGTAGAGGTTGCGTTGCTTGATGCTTTTTTTCCCCAAGGAAACGGCAGGCTGTTTTCAGAGGTTGTTTTTCTTTTAAAAAAAAAACCCACCACTTTTGGGGTTTCACCCCAAAAATTGAAATCAAAGATTCACTTCTTTTGAGTTCCAGCCACCTTTTAAAAAGCTAAATTGCCAACGGATGTAATTGGCTGGCTGGTGAAAGAGTCCGTCATTTGAGGCTGGAAGACAAGTGAGTTGCAAAAAGCTACTTACAGGAACTGTATTTAATTACCTAAGACAGGGGGTCAGCAACCCGCAGCTCTGGAGCCGCATGGGGCTCTTTCGTCCGTCTGCTGCGGCTCCCTGTCACTGGTCGGCTCCACAATTGATAGGGCTTTCGGTTAGGACAGGTAAGAGGAAAAAGGATGCCGCACTAGGAGGAGACTCTATGGTGGGGGAACCGGACTTCCTGTCAGCTGCAGAATTGAATTGGGGGGGGGCTTCCAGTTAGGACCTTTGTGGCTCTTTGAGTGTTTAAGGTTGCTGACCCCCTGACCTAAGAGATCCAATGACTGGAAACTGAATAATCCAAGTTTCTTCGATTCTGATGATCTCTGGCTAAGTTGCAAAGGGAGAGCATTAGAGGTGGTATTCAGCCGGTTTTGGAGAACCGGTAGCGGAAATTTTGAGTAGTTCAGAGAACCAGCAAATACCATCTCTGGCTGGCCCCGTCCCCATCTATTGGCTGCCTCCCAGCTGATCGGCTAGGTCTGCACAGGAGAACGGAGCTGGAAAGCAGGTTAGTGAGGTGGGGAGGGAATGGAGATTTTACAGTATCCTTCCCCTGCCACACCCACCAAGCTACGCCCACAGAACCGGTAGTAAAACTAAATTTTGAATCCCTCCACTGGACAGCATCCTTGCAAACGCCAGTCCTTGAAAATACATCAAAGGCAAAAGGTGTTACTGTAGAATAAGTTTTTATTTTACCCGAAACCAGGATGGTAGTGTGATGTTCCATCAGACGTTATTTACAACTTCTAAAAAAAAAAAAGAAAGTCACACATGCTATCTTAGAAATGGGATCCGAAGGGCTCCCAACGCCGGGAGCCACGCGACAAAGCCTCGGCCACCGTTTCGCCCGTGGGAATTCCCTCGAGGTAGGATCTAGACGACGGCGTGTCTCCCGTGGGCCGCCGCTCGCGTTTGAAATCCATCCGAGAAAAGTATCAAGGAAGGAGAACAAGGGTGTCTCCTGCTTGCTGGCACCGGAAAGCCCCTCCAGGTTCGCACGCTTGCTCGGATAAAATGCATCACGACTCGTGTATTGCACTGAACGACTTTTAGAGTTAAAATAAGTTACGTGACTACGGTGCAAAAAGAAGTGTCTTCTTTGCACGCTCCAGGTTATTATTTTTTTTGTTTCCTTTTTTAAAAAAAAGAAGAAGCTGAAGTTATGGAATTTGAAGGTTTAAGAGTTTTCTTAAAACATTTCAGGAACGGTACCATCCATCAATGATCTGTATAAATAGAACTGCATATTGTACAGAGCTGTTTAAACTGTTAACTTTTTTTTTTTTTTTTAAAGATACAATAGAGGTCATCGGCTACGTACAATTGAAAAGCATGCATTGACAGTCTAATACTGTACATTTGATAAAGGATCATAACATTTTACACAATGAAAATATGGAAAAAAGGGGGGGGAGGAGGGGAGAAAAAAAAACTTGGCCGGATCATCACTCATATTTCTTGCTCAGCAGGTAAAGGGAGCCTTGTCTTCATGCATTCCCAGAACATCTTTTGCAAAAGTCTGTTTTTATCAATTAAAAACTATATTGCACAGTTTGGTAGATCTGTATATATATACTTTTAGTTGTAAGAGCACCACACATTTCCTTCACGGAACACAAGTTTGCAGTTCAATTTTTTTTTTTTTTTCCTCCTTCGCTTTCGGGAAGGTTTTTTAAAAGTTTTTTTTTTTCTTTTTCCCAATGTACAAGACTCATGCAGATGTTTTCAGCAGATGCGTTGCTAAAGACACATGCAAGAAAATTAACCTTACAATTCTGCGAAAATTGGTTTAGGACTAAATGATTTTACTCCAGTATCACTGCAAAGGAAAAAAAGAGAGAGAGAAAAAGAGAAAGAGAGAGAGGGAGAGAGAGAGAAAAGAAAACATTAGTGATAAAAGACAGATAAAGAAAGCATAATAAAAGCAAAAGATCGCTTTTTTTTCTCTTTAAGACTTAGTAGCGATAGGCAATTGACCATAACTTCCCACGATCCAACAGGAGAATACAGGTTAGCAGAAAAAGAACTAAGCATTAAAAAGCTAAGAGGACATTTAGAATTAGGAGGTTTTCATCCACCCGAAAGCTGCAAACTGGTTTAGTGGATCAGACACAAATACAGCCAATTGTGGAGTTGACACTCTCTTCAGAATTGTACCTTGCGCCTTTAAGACCCCAGAAATACAAACAAGGGGCTTGTAACCCTTCTCTTAGGGGGAGGGTTGAACCCTAAACATCTGGAGCCCAACTGAATCTAATCCATCCATCTATCTTCACTATTTGGGTCAGATTAAGGACTTTGAAAGCACAGGCAACTTTAAAACAGCGTTGTTACTATTGCCTAGCAATGTCTGACTGCTTTTCTTCCAGAAAAATCTACATCCACCCTTGGCGTGTAGGCCAGTCGTATTTCCAGATTCCTAGGTCTCCTTTGCCCATCGTAACCAACAGCCTTTCCACGCAACCCTCCCGTCAAGGCTTTCCCAGCCATTGTGCTATGCAGAATGACTAGCTCGCTTAAGCTTTCTCCCGATTTAAAAAAATAAATAATAATTTCAGAGGCATTTGTTCAAACAAAAAGCAACTTGTGAGTGACGGGAGGTTAGGAACCTGCCAAGTTTTGCTTCATTTCTTGAACGGAACAAAATCTCTTAGCAAATAGAGACTCAGAACCGCAGATCAAACTGTCCACCATCTACCCATTGGCTCTATTAGTTTTTTTTTCTTTTTTCTGAAACTTTCTGACCAGATTTATTCTACGGTGCCCGTTTGATCCATTCCCTCTGAATAAAACCTTTCCAATCTGCCTTTTGTCGTAGGCTATGCCAGAAAAGTACCCATCTCTTTTGGGGAATTTTTTTTTTTTTTTTGCGCTGATGGGTAAAAAATGTGCTGCTAAAGCCATGAGCAGAGATTAGGGAAGCAGTGCAAGATGTGCAACAAAACAGGTGTGAGGACACAAGACAATCTGCATTGTTGTTGCATGCTTTGTCTCTCCTGAAATCCTCCCTGCTTTTCTCCTTGCATGCAGTTAAATTTTTTTATCGGTTGTCCTGGGTTATTTTACAATCACAGAGCGAAGGGTCCCTTTCCCGGAGACAAAGGGAAGTTCAAAACCCAGCAACTGTAAATCTGTACCCAAAGTAATTTAGAAACGGCAACAAGCCAGGTTCTGCTGATTTAAGGGGACAGCTGTATTGTGTAAATAAAAGAAAAAGGGAGAGAAACGGATCCCAGGGGCAGCTCTGCTCGGCTTTTAAAAATAGATCCTCCTGCTGTCTTGGAATCGGTTTTGTGGCCCAAGGCACGTTGAAGAGGGAGGGAGGGAGGGAGGAACGCTGGGTTGGGTGGTATTTGCAAAATCAAACTTAACCTGGGAATGAAGACCGACTGCAACCGTAACTCACACATGTTGTTTGTGCAAATGGAAAAACAGCACCGACTCGCATCCTTTTTGAAGCGATGGGCCTGCGGATCTGAACTATGCAAAGAAAAATCCTATGGATGCGCACCTCGACCTTACAACCAACGTTAATCCTCCAGGCTCAGCTAGTCCCAACTCTCTAACTCGCCTTCTAAATCAAGCGTGTCCTGAGCAATGTAGGCCGAAGTTAAGTTAGGACAATTTAAGAAGTCCCGTCTCTCCGTACAAAGCCAGGCATTCTCTTCCTTAGCAAAGCCTTTCCTACATTTTCCGTGCGTCTTTCAAGCAAACCCCAGGAAAAGCCAAGTGCTGACAAAGGGAACCTGAGAGATAGCACCGATGATGTTCCCTAGTTGGGTCATGAAACGTCTGTAAGGAAACAACGCAGCTCAGAGAGCTCTAAGGACCGTACAACTACTCCTCCTCTTTCTCCCTTCTCTTCCTCCTCCACTCCGCAAACCCCTCAACCCTTCTAGCACTGATGAAGTAACCTAGTTGGGTCATGCAACGTCTCTAAGAAAACCACCAAGGCTCAAGAGAGCATCGAGGTCCCCCAGGGGGACTCCAAATATTTTGAGAAGCCACGAAGGGAGCATGGCCCAGGGATTTTAGAATAAAGGCAACCGATTTGAGTCTCTTGAGATTTAACTCAGCAGAAAGGCGGGGAAAGGGGGAAAGGTTTTTGTGCAACGCTAAGGCAGAAAATGTAGGCTAGAGAAACTGCAATGGGGAGTTTATTGAGGTCTCTGGAAAGGGTCACACAGCATAGGGGCCCTCATGTTTCCACTGTTACATACATAGCAACACGCACCACCATCGAAATGGGAGAGAGATACTCACTTCAGTCGATGAAATGTTGGAAGGCATTGGAGAGAAACACCACACAGTTAGACTGTTAATGAACTTACATATCAATACAGGACTCAAGTTTGGGGAGGCAATAAACAAGACACCATGCACAGACACTGATCACAAGAGAACGATGGTGGTTAGTGCCACAGGGCGGGGTGGGGAGAGAAAATAAAAAGAGTTCTCTACAATGTGTTCATTGCGTTACATGGTATTTACAGATTTTTACAACACACACACAGACACGGACACAAAAGTTGTTAACTTATTGGCTGCAGCCCAAGATGCGGCTAGCAGATGGTACCTCGACAAGGTGGCACGGAGAATTAACAGGCCTAAACCAAAAAAAGGGGGGGAAAAACCCCAGAGAGAAATGCCAGCTCTTAAAAAAAAAAAAAAAAAACACACACAAAAATTCTGAGCCAACACAATCAAGGTTTGGTTGTAAATGCCCCGATTAATAACAGGAATGGAACAGGGGAGGGAGAAGAAGGAGGAGAAGAAGAAAAAAAAGCCTGACGCAAGAATTAAAATGGAATGAAAATGCCAAACAGAATGGTCTCGATTTTAAAAGAAAATTTATTCTCTCTCTCTCTTCTTCTTCTTCTTCTTTTTTTTTTTGCTCTTTGCTTAAAGTCCATCCAGATTGCCTCCCACCCCCCCATTCCTTCCTTCTGTTCCTCTCCCATCCCTTCTCATAATGGGCAATGCTGGTGAAGCAACCTTGTTACAGTAAAAATACAGACGATATTTAAATAAATAGTTTTGTTTCTGCTTTTTGTTTTTGATTTTTTTTTAAAAAAAAAAAAACAAAAACCTCTACACGTGTCGGGGATATAGAAACAAATGAAACGAGGAAAACAAAAAACCCCACCACCTAATTTTAGCGGGATGCCTCTCAAAATGACGTTTTCTGCACCGGCGAGATCAACAAGATACCAAGGACAGAGTGTAAGCAAGATATTTTTCTGGGAAATATCTTGTGAATATTTGTAAATATCTAAATCAGGGGTCTCCAATCTTGGCAACTTTAAGACTTGTGGACTTCAACTCCCAGAATTCTGGGAGTTGAAGTCCATAAGTCTTAAAGTTGCCAAGATTGGAGACCCCTGATCTAAAGGATAACTGGGTGGCAAATGCAAAAAATGAAACCAAACCAAAAAAAAAGAAAAAGAAAAAGAAAAAGAAAGAAAAGGAAGGAAGGAAGGGAGAAAAAGAAATTGAGGTGTCTGGTTTTCCCAGTGCAGAAAACGCCCAACTGAATGATAAATTAGGATTAGATGTTCAACCATGCAGCAGACATGAAGAGAGTTTCGCATGCTTCTGGTTTAAGGGAGGAAAACGTCTCCCACGACACTCATTCCCTAAAATCAGCTACCAATCACGGGTTTCTCAAAATGTGATCCCCTGCCTCCCCCACCCCAGCCCACCCCCAACCCCCAGCGCTGTCGTCGTTTTTACAAGGATGAGTGAACTATGAAACAGAACACTGTACATGCGTCTCCTCTACAAAAAATATTTGCATAAAATAGTGTTTAATTTCTCTGTACATGTCGATGGACACCCTAGTTCGTGTATAAAAGAAGTGGGGTGGGGGGAGAAGAGGACTCACCCCCCCCTCCCCACACAGGGGTCAGGGGAAAGAAAAAGGAAAAGGGAAAAATAAAAAGATTAAAAAAAAAAAAGAGGAAAAAAACCCAGAGTCTAGAATATGGAAACCTCAGTCACCGGCAAACATGTTCATGTGAAAATTCAGCAGAATAAGACAAATTGCTTGGAACAATTTTTTAAAAAATCGATTTTTTTCTTTTTTTCTTCTTTTCTTTTCTTTTCTTTTTTAAGTTAAACCTCTCTCTGACTGCCAAGCTACCGCTACCGGACTTCAGGTCAAGAAAAAAACATGTCACTAAAGTTAGTGTCTGTGCTATAAAGCCAAATCAACAACGGCAAGGACAGCAGCACGAATGGCCACGAGATCCCTTCGGTGCATGCAGACAAAGGACGTGGTTTGGTGGCGGGCGGCATAATATCTTTACCCGGCTCTAGGTAAGTACGGGCCACAAATTTAAGAGTCTCGTCCAGCAGGATCACCGGCAGGGAGAGCTTGAGCACCATCAGCCACTGGGTCACGTTCAGAGGGGTGATCTGGAAAATCAGCTGGGGAAAGAGAAGGCGAAGGGTCAGGCCGGGAGTTCGTGCAAAGGGCCGCATCTTTAGGGTGGGCGGGCTTCCAACTCCCAGAATTCAACATTTCACAACCTCGGCATGTCTTAAAATGCGTGGACTTCAACTCCCAGAATTCACTAGGTCAACTTTTTCCTCGAGACGGGTGGACTTCAATTCCCATCCCGTGATGGTTGGGGAATTCTGGGAATTGGATGTTCACGCATTTTAAGAGATGCTGAGCTTGAGAAACATGCCTTAGCCAGATGTTTGGGGAGACCTTGGCAAATCAGGTGAAGACAGGATAGGCTTCTGCTTTTCCTTCACCCTTGAATGGGGTGAAGGCCGTAAGTCTTTGGAGCAATAAACCATAGCTCACTTGTAGAGTGCCACATGAATGGATGATGTGCTCATAAAGGTACAGATTTTGCTTTTGTTTTTGCAATAAGCAGCTGGGAAAGAAGTCTAACTCTTTGAGGTTTAGCAAGCTGGGCTTCTGATGCTCCCCTTCCTGCCCCCCACCTCCCCCAATGTGTGCGATTGCAGGGACTTACTGGCAATGGTTCTACATAAAGGATCAGGAAGTGAAGAGACATGGACAAGCAAATGGATCCCAGGAGCCAGACGTTCTCCCACGGGGGCATCCTTAGCAAGGACTGGTTCTCCGAGAGGCTGAGGGAGGAAAGGAGAAAAAAGGTTGGCGGCAGAAGCTCGTGGGAATGGAGCCACAGGGGTTTCAGCTCAATCCCTCTGCAGGGCCTATGAAGGGGAAGTCTGCTTTAATGGAAAATGGAGTGGTGAGGAGGAGGAGGAAGGGGAGGATGGAAGGAAGTGGAGGAAGATGAAAGGAAAAGGAGGAGGAAGAGGAAGAGAAAGAGAAGATCTCTTCCTCACTGCAGGCATCCTAACCTGTTGAGGGCGTTGCACATCTCTATGGTGACCAAGACGGAGAGCGCCATGGTCATAGGATAGGGAGATTCAAACACCACACAGTCGACCCCTTCAAAATCCAGATTGTCCTCTTTGCACTGCAGGAAATGACTCTGAAAAACAGCAGAAGGCAACGTTAATCTCAACCAAAAAAAAAAAAAAGGGGGGGGGGGGCAATTTTCTCTTTTCTCTGCCCCAAATTCATCAAAGCATCCTCAATAGTACAACACCGTTAAGAACAATGTTTTGTTTGGGTTTTTTTTTAAAAAAACTACGGTTTCTAATCAGATTATTATTGTTAAGCAGGGACTCCTTGGATGACTAAGAGGATTTTCCGCAATACTTGTGAATAGTTTTTAATAAGATTTTTGAGCCCGTCGTCCAATGACACGCCATGTAGGCAGGCTACAAAAACAAACAAACAAACAAAAAAAAAACCCTGCTAAGCTTCGTTCGGAAGACAAGTTGCCAAGAACCGAAATATCAAGAAGGAAATACCAGCTGGTAGTAGGTAATTCTCGGGCCCCCGTCGGCAGCTATGAACCACCAAGCCGCAGCGCCCACCGTGGCAGCTCCGACGTAGCCTTGAGGAGAAGAGAAAGCATGGTAAGTGTCTTGCGCCACTGAGTTAATAGCCACCCCACCAATGGGCCACGGCTTCTTGGGTCTCCCCCTGCCATCGTTCTGCAAGTTTAGGTCTTCTCGGTCAAGTTCTCACAACTGGATTCCTTCCCACATCGGATCTCTGAACAAATCCAGGAAAGTAGCTAGGTCAGTGGTTCTCAACCTATGGTCCACGGATCTCTTGGGGGCTGCAATGGCACAGGGTGGCCACAAATGTTTGAATCTTGAGTTGAGTTTTGGTGGCCTGCAGCCATTATCCGTGGACGTAAAGGGTATTTAAGGAGGTTCCATGGTGAAGAAAAGGTGGAGAACCACTGGGCCATGTTGTATGAGTGAGAAGAGTTTGGTGTACAAAGCCTTGAGTTGTGTGGACTCTGCTAAAACAAGGCCTCTGTCTTTCGGGATGTCTGTTGCATTTATCCTTAGTTAACCCCCTGGCATAAGAACCAGACTTGAAATTGCGTTTGACACAAAGCAATTGCAGGACAAAATCTTGTAGCTGGAGGTCCTACTCAGACAGAACCACTGACTTGACTGCAACTTCTTTTTAAAAAAAAGGAACAGGGAGGAGAAATGGATGCAGCCCCTGAGAATTGATTTTGGTACCCAAAGACGATCTTGTTACCGTAATTTGCTACAAACTCGATTTTTATGACTCTGTCTGATTATGGTAGTGTTTCTTAAACTTGGCCACGTGAAGAAGGGTGGACTTCAACTCCCAGAATTCCCCAGCCAGGCATAGGAAATTGAAACCCACTCATGTTCAAGTGGCCAAGATTGAAAAATACTGAATTAAGGGGGAAGGGAACTCTTCTCTGCTCTCTCTAGTTCCGTGGCGCTCAAGCAAAACACTTACATCCGATTGCCAAGTAACGGAAAAAGAGCCACCCGGAGATGAGGGGCTCTTTGGGGTTACGAGGTGGCTTGCTCATGATATCCAGATCAGGGGGGTTAAAGCCCAGGGCGGTGGCAGGAAGTCCGTCGGTCACAAGGTTGACCCATAGCAGCTGGACAGGGATTAAAGCTTCCGGGAAGCCCAGTGCGGCAGTCAGAAAGATGCTAAAGGAGGAGAAGAAAGAACAGAGGTTAAGCCATGTTAATGCCACTGAGTGTCTTAAACTACGATTATTAGAAGTTAAACCACAGCTGGCCTCTGGATTTTCACGCTTTCAGGGCGGAGCAAGCGGACAGCGGGAAGGAAGGCTTGAACCCTGCCTGACAGGGTGAAGTGTCCCCAATGGAGAGAGAGATCTCTGGGTTCCCTTCTTTTATTCTGGATAAGGCTTCTCCAACCTAGGCAGCTTTAAGATCTGTGGACTCCTATCTCCAGAATTCCCCAGCCAGCCACATTTATCTTGTATGCTGCCCAGAGCAACTTGGAAACAAGATGGACAGCAAATAAAATTTCATAATAAATAAATAGATAATAAAGTTGACAAGCCTTAAAATTGCCAAAGTTGGGGGCTCCTATTCTAAACCCTTAAACAGCTCTGCAGTTTAAGCTACCTTGGGATCCAGTTATCCATCTAGATGGGCCTGTTCTCAAGACCGAGGAATGATACCCCCGTTTGGTCCTCATCAACTTCTCTCTTTCAAGAGGGCGAGGCAGATACCCACAGCGGCTGCCTGGATGAATCCAGCCCTTGCTCTGCTCCTAATTGCAAACGCCCGGGTTACTCACCAGACCACTTCTCCAACGTTGGAGGAGATGAGGTAGCGAATGAATTGCTTCATGTTATTGTAGATGGCCCGGCCTTCCTCCACAGCGGCTACAATGGTGGAGAAATTGTCATCCGCCAGTACCATTTCCGATGCTGTCTTTGCCACGGCCGTGCCAGATCCCATGGCAATTCCAATTTCTGCCTTCTTCAAAGCGGGGGCATCGTTGACGCCGTCTCCTGTCTGGGATAAGTTTTGGGTTGGGTCAGGATGCCCAAAGGCTGTAACCAGCCAATAACCTTGGAATTGGCTGAAATATTTCTGGAACCCTTCTGGAGTCTCAGAATAGATTAATAAATTCTATTTTGATTCATCCCCTCCTGAACAGGAAGTCCTTGACATTTCGGTTGCTAAGTGAGACAGTCGTTAAGCGGGTTTTGCCTCATTTTACAACTTTTCTTGCAACAGTTAAATGAATCACTGTGGTTAAGTTAGTAATTCAGTTGTTAAGTGAATCTTATTCATCAAAAAAGCACAACAAAGAATGTTCTTTCTGCGCCAACTCAGGAAGCTCAAACTGCCCCAGGAGCTGCAGATCCAGTTCTACAGAGGAATGATGGAGTCTGTCATCTGCACCTCCATAACTGTCTGGTTTGGCTCTGCAACCCAACAAGACAGACACCGACTTCAGAGGATCATTAGAACGGCAGAGAAAATAATGGCTACCAACCTGCCTTCCATGGAGGACCTGTATACTGCACGAGTCAAAAAGAGGGCTGGGAAAATATCTACAGACCCCTCGCAACCTGGACATACTGTAAACTGTTTCAACTCCTACCTCAAAACGAGGCTATAGAGCACTGCACACCAGAACAACTAGACACAAGGACAGTTTTTTCCCAAAAGCCATCACTGCTAAACAAATAATTCCCTCAACACTGTCAAACTATTCACTAAGTCTGCACTACTATTAATCTTCTCATCGTTCCTATCACCCATCTCCTCCCACTTATGACTGTATGACTTTAACCTTGTTGCTGGTATCCTTAACATTTATATTGACTGTTCCTTAGTATGATTTGTAATGCTTATTTGTTCCCTATGACTATCATTAAGTGTTGTACCTTATGATTCTTGACGAATGTATCTTTTCTTTTATGTACACTGAGAGCATATGCACCAAAGACAAATTCCTGGTGTGTCCAATAAAAAATGTCATACTATCTCCTATTCTATTCTATTCTATTCTATTCTATTCTATTCTATTCTATTCTATTCCGATTCCCCCTTGACTTTACTTGTCTGAAGGTCGCAAAAGAGGATCACATGACCCCAGGACACTGCAACCGTCGTTAAGTACATGTCAGTTGCCAAGCATCCAAATTTTGAGCATGTGACCATGAGATTGTGGCAAAGGTCATAAGTGTGGGAAACTGTCGTAAATCCCTTGTTATAACTTCAAAGGATCACTGGAAGCTACTTGTATGTTTTCTCAAGACCCAACATCTGTGCACAAAAGGCTGCTGTTTATTTGCACTCCCCACACGCACACTTACCATTGCTGTGATGTCATCGAAGGACTGGAGAAACTCCACGATTTTGGACTTGTGGGAGGGTTCCACCCGGGCGAAACAGCGGGCATTCATGCAGGCGTCTCTCTGGCCGGCTGGCGAAAGTTCATCAAACTCCCGACCGGTGAAGGCTTTGGTGGTGACGTCCTCGTCTTCGCCGAAAATGCCAATGCGCCGGCAGATGGCCACCGCCGTCCCCTTGTTGTCGCCTGTTATCATAATCACACGGATGCCTGCTTGCCGGCAGAGCTTTATGGAGGAGGCCACCTCGATGCGGGGCGGGTCCAGCATTCCCACGCAGCCCACGAAGGTCAGGTTGGTCTGAAAGAGGAGCAAGGCCAGAGACGGTCAAGCAGAAGGAAGCTGATTGATTTGCCACAGCTGGAGTCCCCAAAGTGGAGATTGACGATGATGTTCGGTTATCGTTATTACTTTGCAACTTTTAAACATGTAACCTGCCACATCTTTTCTTTCCTCTTTCCTTCCTTCCACCCTTCTTTCCTTCTAACTTCTTTCTTCTCTCCCTCCACTAATTTTTCTTCCTTCCTTCGTTCCTCTAATTTCTTTCCTCTTTCCCTCCACTAATTTTTCTTCCTTCCTTCCAACTTCTTTCCTCTCTCCCTCCACTAATCGTCCTTCCTTCCTTCCTCTAACTTCTTTCCTCTTTCCCTCCACTAATTTTTCTTCCTTCCTTCCTTCCTACTTCCTTCCTGTCACTCCGCTCATTTTCTTTCTTTCCTTCCGTCCTTCCAACTTCTTTCCTCTCTCCCTCCACTAATTTTCCTTCCTTCCTTCCTTCCTTCCTTCCTTTCCTTCCTTCCTTCCAACTGCTTTCCTCTCTCCCTCCACTTTGTCCGTCCTTCCTTCCTTCCTTCGAGAAGTTATCATTCCTCCCAAACCAAAGCCACAGGGAAAGTTCATCTCGATCTCGCAGGTCTAGGGCATAGTGTGATCTGGGCAAGCTAGATGACGAAACGCAGAGCTTCGTAGGCAGGGACTCAGTTTATCCCCGAGGAGGTCCGCCCACCCAATCTGGGACTCCCACCCAGCAGGTCAAATCAGCTCTGTTGAGACTCCAACGATGAAAACATCGTCCTGACATCACACCAACCTCATAGGTGATGAAACCTGTAGAGTCTTCCAGGTTCATGTCCTCCTTTCTCGGCGGGTTGTCATGGGTGGCCAGGGCCAGGCAACGCAGCGTGTCCTTCCCGGTGCCCCACTCGCGGATGACGGTCATGATCTTCTGCTTAATCCCCGGGGTTAAGGGTACTTTCATGTTTCCTGCTCGGAAATGGGTGCACCTGTCAATCACTCCTTCTGGAGCGCCCTGCGGGAAAGCGAAAGAGGAACCAATTCAGCCTGCAGACTCTTTTTACCTCTTCATCGGAGAATCACCCCTGAGCCGTTTCACAAAGGAGGTGAAGCTGTCGCCTAAACCCAGAGTCGAGTTCTGGTTACAGGTAGTCCTTGACTTACAGTCAAAACGGAGCCCAGAATTTCCACTGCTAAGCAAGACAGTTGTTAAGTGAATTTCCCCCACATTTGACCGCCTTCCTTGCCACAGTTGTTAAGTGAATCATTACTGCAGATGTTAAGTTAGTCACATGGTCGTTAAATGAGTCTGCTTCCCCCATGGACTTTGCTCATGAGGTCACAAAAGAGGATATCACGGACATGGCAACCCTCATAACTACAGGCCGGTTGCCAAGCATCCAAATCCTCATGACCGTGTGGGGAGATGCTGTAGCAGCCGTTAGTGTGAAAAATGGTCGTAAGTCACTTTCCCGTGCTGTTGTAACTTTGAACCGTCACTAAATGAATGGTTGTAAGTCGAGGACTACCTGCAATCTGGCCCATCCCTTCTGGCACCTCTTCAGTGACATCCCCCCCCCACAACCCCTTCCAGGGTACTTGCCTTCACAAACATCTTGGTCATGGCCGTCCGGCTGGGTTTGTTTGGAGTGCAGTAAACAGACATGGATTTCCTATCCCGGGAGAATTCGAGGGTGAATTCCTTCCTCATCAGCTGCTTAATCACCTGCATGGAGAGGAGGCAGAACCGGGGGTTGGAACCAGCGTGCACGAAAGCACCTGGGTCGCCCCAGAGGCCCAGCTTTTTACAAGGACTGACCGAGTTGCAAGCGTTGGCCCGCTCGATCTTGGACAGCCCTTTCAGATCCGTGTCGAACACGTTCATCTTCTCCACCAGACAGGTCAGGGCGGTCTCGGTGGCTTCCCCGACCTTCTCGTAAACTCCCTTCACCTTTAAAAAGGAAAAAAAAGCTGCTGTTACTACAAAGCAGAGGAGTCATTCATAATCATATACTATTATTTTTTTATTCATAAGCATTATGAATACACTGTATTGTCAGGGTATATCATTTACAAAAAAAAAAACAAAAGAGAAAACAAAAAGAAATATTAACACATATACTGATAACAATAGCAATAATGTAACAGAATAGTTTTGGCTAAATTTCTTTTTATATTAGCTTATTTATAACTCTGTTGATTATATTGGCTTATTTATAACCATAGACCATCTTTATATTTAATTCATACATAGCAATCATCTTTCTTCATCTAATTTCTACCTCTTATCTCTAACCACTCATAAAATCTATTCCATGTCAAGTAATATTCTTCTGTGTCTTTTATTTTTAAAATCAATCTGTCTATCTCTGCACAGTCTAATATTTTCCGGGAGTCATTCATAATCACCTGCAGGATTGGTCAATTTAAGAGATGGAATGACACTGAACAAAGCAGGCTGTCATAGCCCACGTTTTGCTAAGCGTGTACACAGGCTTTAGCAGGGGGACCAAGCCTTTTATCACAGATTTTCCATTACTCATGATGTCTGCTCCAAATTCCCGTTCTTCATACTCCGTGCTAGTTTAACGGGCTTGTATTTTCTTGATGGGTACTAACGTGTTTCAAAACGGCACGGAAAAGTTACGTGCAAGACCACAAAAAGAGTTTTGCTTGGGCAATTCCCTCGAATGCTACTCACTTCATTGAAATCCAGAGAGGAATCGTTACAGAGGGCGCAGATTGTAGCCAATTCAATGAGGCCGTCGTACATGCAGCATTTGACGGATTTATCGTTTCTGTAACTGTTTGGGGATGGGAAGGAATCAGGCGGGGGGAAAAAAAGAGATGAAATTTCAGACAATGTAAAGAATCCTAATTTATCAGTGAATTAATTGGATCCTAGGAGGAGTCAGACAAATTGGAACAAGTTCCAACAAACAACAACAAAAAAAAACACCGTAGAAGGCAGCAAATGGATGAAAATTACTTTTAAGAGCTGGAAAATTTACAAAATTGGATGAATGCCATCAAAAGGACTGTTAGTTGAGAAGATTCTGGTACATAGGCCTTTAGCAATAAATCTATTTAATTGAATGTTTAGATTTGGGCCTGACATTTCTAGAGCAAAAATCTAACTCTGAAAGACCCTTTTGGATTACATTTTCAAAAACAAAACAAAACAAAATAAAAGAGTACAGTAGAGAATTATCATATTCTCCCCAGGCAAGAGACAGAGAGCAAATATTAATAATATGTCTCAAATCATGGGCAGGTTTCCTGCTTCCCCAAAGGAAAACCATTACTTTTCAATCTACAGATTGAGGGGGTTTAAATCTACGGATCAAGTTCAATCCTCTTTTATAGCATCCAAATATTTGCCTTTCAGGCCCCGTAATCCTAGACTTGGCCACACCGCACACCAAGAGACCAGTAGATGGATAAACTGGCAAACAAAAAGGATGAAGGTTCTCACATGTCTCCGACGGGAGCGTACGTTGAACCAGACACGGTGAATTCATTCAGAGAGCAGCTATCTCCTTCCACACGGTCCACAATGAACATCTGCCAGAGAGACACAAGGGTGTGATTACGCTCAACGAGCTGAGGCCAGTTAGAACATTTTCACATTAAAGACGCAAAGTTTGATCAGCCAGCTTGCTCTTAGGAACTAAACACGTTTTACTTTAAAGTAAGATCTAGCTGTACTTTTGAGAATATAGGTCACCTACAAGCTCTTCCAGTTGTTTCTTGAAATTATACCTTGCCCCATTTCCTTCTCTCTCATCTGAACAGGGGTCGGCAATCTTAAATACTCAAAGGGCCATTTGGACTCTATTCCCACAGAAAAGAAAACATCGGGAGCCACAAAACCCTTCCCGTGCCTGACTATTTCCTGAGCGGCCACAAAACTAGCATATGTAGTTGAATTAAATGTTCTGTTTTCTTCTGAAACTTTTCTTTTCTTGGATTTATCCATGGTTGGCCTCCCGGAGTTAAAAAGCTCAATAAATCGCGTGCCAGAGGTGTTACACATTGGCGGTTGTGACGTATATTTTGAGCGAGAGGGAGCCACAGCAGAGGGGTGAAAGAGCCACATGCAGCTCCAGAGCCGCGGGTTGCTGACCCCTGGACTAAAACAATACACGAAGCCTTCTTCTCAAGCGGTTGGTTGAACCTCTTGTGCGCCTACCATTCAAAATGGGGGCCCCACATCAATAATCAGAAGGTGTCAGACCTGGCCCAACTTGGTCCTTAGGAAAGAAAGACCCTCGACTCCATTTGTGGCAAAAAGGTTACTCTTACTAAAGCCAAGAGGTTACTGTAAGTGAAGCCAGAACAAAGAGTTTGAGAGCGAAAATTCCCCTAGTTAGCTTTCCCTTCAGTGGTCCTCCCTCCGGTTATCACCCCATTGTCCAGTGACATTCAGAGAAGGTATTTTGGTAACTGTCTACGCTGTGGTTGGTTGGTTAGATGGATGGGTTAGATGGTCCATTCCCAAGACCTTGGACTTGAGATGTCTCAACTATTGCTTTTGATTTCCCAGGTCTTCGTCTCGGGTTCCCCCGTCTCCCCCCTGCAGCCCCCAAGTTCCCTCTCCCCATAACGTATGGCAGGCTGGTATCTAGTGAGCGAAGGGATGGCAGCTCTGACAGAAGGATGCTTCAGCTCAATTCACAGAAACCAGCTAGAAAGGCAAGCTCTTCCAGTGATGCAAACATCTTGAATGAAAAGCGTGCAAACATGTGAAATATCCCCCCACTTCCACAGGTCTAGGGGATCCAAAAATGTAGAAAATGATGATTCAGTCTTAATTTATGTCCCCCCCTCCTCCCCAAAGTCCTCTCACCAAGCAACATCCAACTTGGATTCAGGCCACTTTGCTGTTACTACCCATCTTCAGCTCCGTGTAAGTCTCAAGAATTTAAATTGCACCCACTTGGACTAGCTACGGTTTGGCAACGGACCCTAATGGAGAAAAAACCCTTTCCCAGCATCATTAAGCTTGCTGAAGAGAGATTTTCACATAAAGTAGCTTTGACATGCTCGGCCATTTCTCACCAGCCCCACAAACTCCAGGAAATGTTTTTCTGTATTGCCTAATGGATCTGACACTATAGGATGAGAGGGAAAAAGGCAAAGTGAGGATTTTCCTGCCCTGCCAAAGATGCTTTCTGGAAGAAGAAGAAGAAGAAAAGGTTGGGGAGCTGCTTTGTGGAGGAGCCGTTCCGCTGTTCGGCCTCTACCCCCTAAAGACGGGCAGTTATGCAAGATCCCTGCAAAGCGCCTCTCTCAGAATACAGATGAGCCTGGGCTTTGTGCGCTCTTTGTGCGCTACGCTTCAGCAGCCAAATGCGGGAGAGGGAGAGGAGGCAAGGCGCATAGGTAAGCAGCCCATCAGAAGGGGGAAGGAAGATTCATTTCAGCTGCGGAAAAGACCCAGAAAAAAAATCTATTGACGTCTTTATGGCCGTTGACTCATTTGAGGCTCTCGCCTCGTCATCGCAACATCCTGCTCCGAGGGTGGCTGGAAGGCATCCCTTCCAAGATCCCTTCTTCTCCAAGAGAAGAATTCCTTGCTACCGAAGAAATGCAGTTTCCTTCCCTCCGGACTGCCTTGAAAAAAAAGGCAATTTAATCAATATTTCACAGTTGCTCTGATCATCTTCCCTAGAGAATTGCCTGGGACAAGAACAAACCTCCCACCCTTAGTTTTATAAACTAAGACCTGATTTTTTCCCCTCCCAGCCTCCTTTTATCTTCCCTAAGTGAGCAGAACTGGCTGGGTTAATAGGAAGAAGAGAGCATATTAAAAGCACTTTAACTTCTTTTTTTTCTGGCTAAATATATGTTAAGAGTCGACAGAGTCTCTTGTATCTAAATTAAATGTATTTAAATTAAAAATTATTTCTCGGCTTGCTGAATGACCGCGAAATAAAGGCAGCTTCTCTAAACCGGTTTTGCAAGAGTGGTTGATAAAAATCAAAATCAGTTTTAGGACCAGAGAGACCAAGACACACAGTTCACCCCAAATTTTACCAGTTCCCCCCTTCCTAACCCAGAGAAATCGAGGAAGCATCTTACCCGGCAAACCGACATCTGGTTGGTGGTGAGGGTGCCCGTCTTGTCGGAACAGATGACCGAGGTGCAGCCCAGGGTTTCCACCGAGGGGAGGCTCCGGACGATGGCGTTCTTCTTGGCCATGCGACGGGTGCCCAGGGCCAGGCAGGTGGTAATGACGGCAGGCAGGCCCTCTGGAATGGCGGCCACCGCAAGGGCCACGGCGATTTTGAAGTAGTAGATGGCGCCCCGGATCCAGGAGCCGCCGTGGACGGGGTCGTTGAAGTGGCCGATGTTGATGATCCAGACGGCGATGCAGATCAGCGAGATGACCTTGGACAGCTGCTCCCCGAACTCGTCCAGCTTCTGCTGCAGGGGGGTCCTCTCTTGCTCGGTGGCCACCATTTCGTCACGGATTTTGCCGATTTCCGTGTTGACCCCAGTGGCCACCACGACCCCCATGGCTTTGCCCGCAGAAATGTTTGTACCCTGGATGGGGAAACAATCCGATTCAGGCATTTCAAGTGTTGAAAAAAAGACTATTAAAACTCCTCTCCCCAAGTTCATTATTTCAGTGCAGTCTTACTGCAAGGATCTCATTTTAGCTGATCTGATTCAGCGCTCGTAACCTAAGGCTGCAGTCCTCAAGGTTTTGCACCTGATTCTCTTCTTCAAACTGGGAACAGGCTTTGAGGTGCATAATTGTCGTCTGATGTATTTTATTCTTCTTTTCAACCAAATATGTTCTACCCAAAAATTCCGAGGGAGCAGGTTTCTGATACTACATATAATCCGCTCCTCCCTCCAAACATGTTTTCGTTCTTTTGCTCCTCATCGGTGCCTTGGTGCCCATTTAGAAGCAGAAATTTTCAGGCATACAATAATATACACATCTATGGTTTCTCTTTCTTTCCTAACTAGGTTTTAAGATTTAGACCCATTCCCCATTCATTACTTCATTCTCCTGGTACATTATCAAATTCTGCAGCACTCCAAAAAGGTCTGTGTTGGAGATTTAAAGTATAAGCAACCAACAGCAGCGCTGATTAAGTGTGCAAAGGAAATCAACACACAAGCAATGGTATCCACCAAGAGAGGAGGGCAGCATAGAAATTTGATGGATGGATGGATGAGATCAGAAACTAGATCAGGCGTGTCCAATCCTTTAGCCATTGAGTGAAGAGGAATATATGTAAAGGTAAAGGTTCCCTGGCACATACGTGCTGGTCATTCCTGACTCAAGGGGGCGGTGCTCATTTCCGTTTCAAAGCTGAAGAGCCAGCGCTGTCCGAAGACGTCTCCATGGTCATGTGGCCGGCATGACTCAACGCCAAAGGCACACGGATGGCCGTTACCTTCCCACCAAAGGGGGTCCCTATTTTTCTATTTGCATTTTTTACGTGCTTTTGAACTGCTAGGTTGGCAGAAGCTGGGACAAGTCACGGGAGCTCACCCCGTTACGCGGCGCTAGGGATTCGAACTGCTGAACTGCCGACTTTTCCATCAACAAGCTCAGCGTCTTAACCAATGAGCCACCGCATCTGTGTGTGTGTGTGTGTGTGTGTGTGTGTGTGTGTGTGTGTGAACATGCCTGGTCTAGACATGTCTTAACAGCTTCTGAAAAAGCAGGCTTGCTTAATGGGGTCTTGCTCTGCAATTCTGTAATGAGATCACTGTGCAAAAGAAGATCTGAGTCCCACAGGGAGGACCTGAGTTTATAGGTGCCAGCACTAATATATATATATATATATATATTTTTAAACAGCAATGGTATTTACACAACGCCCTTTCCATTCATTCAAACCAACCGAACCGGTTTCCATGAACTGGCACGAGCCGGTCAATATTTGGCAAGACGGTGTACATATTGTGAACTTCTGAGGACTCACTCCACGTTCTCAAGGAACAGCTTCTGAAGTTCATCCAGGGGCTGGATGAAGAGGACATAAATTTTAATTGGGGTGACTGCCTCAGAACAGAGGCAGGAGAAAGGAAGGGGGGTGGGGGGGGAATGGTTCTCAGCTGTTTTGCCAGACGCAGGAACAGCAGGAGTGGTTAAGGTCAGGATAATAAATCAGATAAATAGCCAGGACTCATTATGAAATTCTTGAGTAGCAATTGATCGGTGATGTGGAAGTTCCCGCTCGAACACCAGAAGCCTCTTGTTCTCGGTACAAAGAGAACTCTTTAAAACTCTCCCCAAAAGAAAACCACAGATAAGGAGGGGAGTATTAGGCATTTGCAAGAGATTTCCATTTTTTTCATTTTATGAATGATAATCTACAAAGTTAAGCTAAAAAAAACCTTGGATCACCCTATGCTTATATGTACTAGACTAGAAATAGACTAGACTAGACTAGACTAGAAGAGGTGGAAGGGACCTTGGAAGTCTTCTAGTCCAACCCCCTGCTTAGGCAGGAAACCCTATAGCATTCAAACTTGGCAACTTAAAGACCTGTGGACTTCAATTCCCAGAATTCCCCAGCCAATATGGCTGGATGGGTAATTCTGGGAGTTGAAGTCCACACGACTTAAAGTTGCCAAGTTTGAAAAACAGCGATTTAAACGATCAAGATAGATGCGATGTTGTCAGGGCATTCTAAACAGAGTAAGGAGAAGCTAATTTTGTTTTTAAATGAAGCATGCACCAAATGATCTCCAAAAAAACACACGGGTCGAGATTTTACTCACCGAAAAAAGCATATTTTTCTTATCTTGGTTTACTGCCCGAGGATCAGGCACAGGGTCCGTGTGCTTAATTACCGAGACAGATTCACCTAGAAAAAAAGGTCAAATGCCTTAGCACAGAAATGCAAATTCTCCCTGCACTTTGGACATACTTCCTGGAGTGTTTAGCAAACAAACTTGGAAGCAAAACAACCCCCATTTGGTTTCTTCCCCTCCCCCCACCATTCTAATATAATTTATCAGTTGTACTATTTTTTTTTTTACAAGCCATTTTGGCAATCAAATAATGGAAATAAGCCAGATACAACTACAACACTCCAAGAGGAAAGCTGAGACAACATGCTGGGCCCAACTTTTAAATTTAAGCCAGATAGGAGGGACTTTTTCATTCGGAATTAACTTTCCATGGGGTGGGAGAGAGAGAGAGAGAAGAAGGAACATGGACCCAGGGCAAAATAAAACAGGTCACCTTCATCATGACCACCATAATAGGACTTTGTCATCAAGGACAAATGTTTGCAACCCCAAGAAGCATCGCTTTTCTCTCGAGAACCCCCTACCTGTGAGGATCGACTGGTCAACTCGTAGAGTTGTTGATTTTATGGAAGTAATTCTGATGTCAGCAGGAACTTTGTCCCCAACTGTGGGTTGGGAAAAAAAAAGAGTGTGAGTTTAAGTGATCTGTAGGAAATCCAAAATATTTTTCCAGATGTGCAATGCGCATCAGAGTAAGCACAATAATATTGGGTGTTTATTCAAAAAGCACTTCTCCCTTGCCGGTTTATTTTTGTTTCAGAATATTATTCCATGCCTTTCTTTGCTTTTATATCTGTGTGGCGGGAAGTCTCACCGTGTGGAAGTTTCTCTCCTATAATATGTTGGTACGTTACGTCTCATATTTCCACCTTTAAATTCAGGGAGAAATTTCATTCTGCAAACCCAGTTTAGTGTAATTGCAAAAGCTATATTTTCACTCTAATACAAGTAGGAAGGTGCTAATGGGTTTATTAGATTCCCGCTGGCATTTGGTTGAGCCAATGGGAACTGTTTCCTGATCAGGATCAATCTTGGCTCCGTTCTGGCATGGATCTTCTTAGTAACATGCAGCCAAGTGGAAGGTGTGCGTAAAACAGAACTGTATTCTGTCCGATTTGGTGGGGACTCAAAGATTTGGTGGGGACTCAAAGAAGGACCACAAAAGCACCCAAGGTTTGATATAGTTCTTTGTTCTTAAGACTGGCAGTGAGCAGCATCCGATAGCCAACATTATTATCCTTTAGGACAGGGTGTCCAACCTTGGCAACTGGAAGATGTGGCTGGCTGGAGAACTCTGGGAGTTGAAGTCCACCGGTCTTAAAATTGGCCAGGTCTTAAAGGGGTGTCCAACAGGTCTTAAAAGTTGGACACCCCTGATTCAGGAGCTCCTAAGAGCCATGCAAAATCTGTATGGAACATTTATGCAAAATTCACTTCCCAGAGCTCCAGGCGGCACCGTCTTGTAAATGACTGATCCTGTCACGGAGAACAGTCTCCCCACACCAGGTCCCACTAGGCTTCCTGCAGGGAATGCTCAGCTGCTGAATTCCTACAGGAACTGCTTATGCAATTGGCAGCAATCGGAGACACAGAGGGAAAACCATAGGGTAGTCATGGTAAGTTGGCAACGTTACCATGAAAATGGGATCCTTTACTCATCGGTTAAGGTGACACTACTTTGGGGATTAGCCTGGCCTTTGAAAAAGGCAATTACAGGCAGTCCTCGACTTACGACCACAACGGAGCCCAAAATGTATGTTGCTAAGTGAAACATTTGCGAAGTGAGTTTTGCCTCGTTTTACGACCTTCCTTGCCAAAATCACTGCAGTTGTTCAGTTACTAACCCGCTTGTTAATTAAGTGAATCTGTTCCCCCCCCCATTGACTTTTGTGAGTTTTGGCCCATTTTACAACCGTTCTTTCTTGCCAGAGTTGTTAAGGGAATCGCTGCAGATGTTAATCTAGAAACAAGGTTGTTAAAAGAATCTGGCTTCCCCATTGACTTTGCTGCTCAGAAGGTTGCGAAAGGAGATCGCGTGAGCTTGGGACACTGTGCAACCGTCATAAAGACAAGTCAGTTGCCAAGCATCTGAACTTAGACCACCTGACCGTGGGGATGCGGCAACGGTCGGTAAGTGTGAAAAACAGTCCCAAGTCACTTTTTCCAGGGCCATTGTAACTTCAGACCGTCACTAAATGAACTGTTGTTAAGTTCATTGTGCTGTACTGTACAATCTCTCAAATTAAATTATCTATTTGTAAATTTTTATAGATATTCTTTGATGGGAAGCGAAGCGGTGGCCCGTTCTTAAAAATTCCCCTAGAGGGCTTTTATTGACTGGGTCTATTTATATTGCCTGGTCACCGTTTCCCTTTTCTTCTACATTTATAGTGAAGAAGAAGGAGGGGGGGGAGAAAGAGGGGGGGGCATTCTAAGTGCCCTTCAGCCCCGAAGAGAAAATAGTACAAGACGAACCATTGCCAAAGCCAAACATGGGCAAACCATTCGGACGCCCCCCCCCCCCCCCCCCCCCCCCCCCCCCCCCGGGACGGGTGTCGTGAGGAAGCTCCTTGTCCAGCAGCTGCTTTTCGGCGACCACAATTCCACCCAAGAGCAAGTGGAGAAGATTTTGGCACCGGGCGAGAAAAAGCCCATCAGTCCGTCAGGAAAGAGGGCAAGGCTGCCAAAAAGCCTGACAGCTGGACCTCTCGGATGCCACCCATCCAAAGCCTGGCACCCCTGCAGACAGGTGAGGTCCCCTGCTCCCAGCTATGGGGAATGCCGGCTGGGGGATTCTGGGAGTTGAAGTCCACAGGTCTTTAAAAAGGTGCCAAGGTTGGACAGCTCTGGCTTAGCCCACCTGGGACTTGGTCCTTGCAAAAAACAAACTTACAGACCGTGGCTTTGGGCAATGGGTTAAAGGGCGCCTCAAATGTGTGTCCTCTTAGAATAAGATTCAGTACTTTGTCCTCGGCTCGCGAGTTTGTTTAGTGACCGTTTCAAAAGTTACAAGGGCACTGAAAAAAGGGACTGATGCGTTTTTCACACTGATGACCGCTGTAGCATCCCCCTGGCCATTCGATCAAGCTTGGCAACTGGCTCATGACCACTGCCTTGTCCCGGGGGGGGGGTCACGTGATCCCCTTTTGCGACCGTCTGACAAGCAAAGTCAACGGGGAAGCCAGATTCGCTTAACAACCGTGTGGCTAATTTAGAACACGGCACAGTGATTCACTTAACCACCGTGGCAAGAAAGGTCATGGAACAAAACTCACGCAAAAAATGTCTCGCCTAGCCACAGAAAGGTTGGTCTCAATTGCGGTTATAACATCAAGGATTACCTGTAATCTCTGCTAACCAATTTCTTTTCCTTCCTTGGACACAATCCTCAAACACAGTTCTGTGTTAATTTAGGAACAATGCCGGGAAAAACCAAAATTATCTAAGCCTGTAAATGCATTTCCTCTCCCCACAAAATGCATTAATGGTTTCCACAACAGAATTTGGCCGGGTGCCATCAGATCCCTGCCAGGCTTACATTGCAACCGTGCGATCAGAGATGCTCCTAATCAAATTCACACTGCACGATATTAGCGAAGGGGCTTGCGGCCGCCTCCGTGGAGCCGCCAACAGGGGGGGGGGCGCGGGATTCCTAAGCTCCCTTCCCTGATAAACCTGGTTACTCCGCATCTCTTTAATAATGATAATTGTCACCGTCCAAATGTTAAGAACCATAAACCGATTAGCTGGAAATAATCCGGAGGCTTTAATTATAGCAATAAGTATGCACGGAGGGTTTAACAGACATAAGAAAGAGAAATATAATTGCCAAGACTGCTGCGGTAGCACGATTGGAGGGCAGAAATACATTTTCCTTATGGAAGGAAAAACCTTTCTGAATAGCTTTGGACCAAGAAACAGGGATCAGAGAGAGAAAAAAAAAAGCAAGTTTAAATGACCGTTAGATCTTGTAGCCAAGTTCTGAATTCAAAAGAAGTTTCTGTGCTCCGATTCAGTGCATTTGCCAAATCAGAATGAAATATCGGCGGCAAACTTATCTTGATGCTCAAGAATTTTCTGTCTGGTGGTACCTTTTGTTCCAATAATAAATTCCTCTGGGGTTCTATTAAGGTTATAAGATCGTAACCATTCTGCAAATTCGAAGCACGAGAGTAGCAGGCCTCGCATTCTGCAGGCTTTATACTTCAATAACTCACAGGAGGGAGGGGGAAAAAGGACCCACTCGGCAAGAGGTCAAATGCAACAACCCTTTTATAAATAATCCTGAAAATAAATGCGCTGTCCTGGTTTGAACTCTGGGCCGTTTTTGACAGATTTTAGCGGGTTACGGCATGAGCCTATGATTTATTTTGCTTTGAACTGCTTCACTTAAGAACTACTATCTGCATCAGAGGAGGATGAAAGCTCTGGGTAAATGTATTTACATATTTCTTACCCACAAAACGCTGTTTGACATTGTGACTCAAGAGAGATTAGAAGGGAGCCAAGTCACACTGAAAGCCAAGCGCACCCCATGGAGCCCAGCTTTTCCAACTAGTCCTATTAAATTTATATATAGAGAGATATATTTGTTTCAGTGCTTGACAGGGATTAAACGCTGACACTAAACAGGAACGTTAAACACAAATACAAGCTCCCAAAATTCCCACCAACATTACAAGCAGTTGTACAAAATTGATGCCTGTTTACAACGGAATGTCCAGAATTAAGGCTACTGTCGATTTACAATCAATAAGAGTTTTACTCTACTATTGTGTTCCACTGAAGTGAAATACGCACAGCGTTCGGCAAAGCCACTAAATTAAAGCAGTTCCCCGCAGTGAAAGTCTTCTACAATTGATCCAACATAAAAGTTGGCTCAAGGCATGCTAGCTTTAACTATGTTAGGTTTAACCAAAGCAAAGAAACCACGCTGTAGCTCAGAATATCAGGTCAGAGTTTTCAGAATGAGCACCCAGGGCGGGCTTGAAAGCCATCCAAACGAGTCAGGATGGCCCTTGGTTCCTAAACTCCATTACGAGGTCCTACAAGAAACTTTCATCCCACAATGCATTTCTCCTTTGCAAGAAAATGGGGCAGAATTTCCTGCTCCCCTCCTAAGGGTATTATGTCCACAATTTGTGTATTGTCTGGATGGAGTTCTCGGCTAAGATCAATCTCTGTGCAACCCATTATAGAGTCAGCCCCTTTGCTCCCTGCAGAAACCTCCTTGAAGGATCCCTGGCCCTTAGGCCCCACTGACCTTAGGGGGGAGATGATGGGAGATTGTTTTATGCTGGTCAATAGCGAGGAGCTTTTCTGCGGACACGCAAATGTCCCTGGCACGCTGCCTAAAATTCCGCCATCAGATACGCATCCCCCGACCCAGGGCTCTGTTGCTTCCCTACATGGTCCTTTGTTGGCAGACGCCATGTCAAAGGCCATCCAACGCGCTTAGGCTTATGACAGAGGCATGCGCACCGTCTTTCACACCTCGGGAGTCTTGACATCAGCTATGGAACACGGTGTCTCTACCCTGGAAGAGCTATGCTTTGCGTCCGTGGCTATGCGGATGGGCGGCTGAGTGCCCTGCAGAGAACCAATCTGGTCACTGCAAGATGGACCGGACACGAAAGGTTAAAGTCCACTTTTCTTAGCTCCTGCCTTGGGAAAGAAACCCCATCCTTTCATCTAAAGCCTGCTTTTTTTTCTAGAAGTCACAGCTTCCCATCAACTCCTTTTTTCAGATGCTTGGTTTTTTTTAAAAAAAAGATAACACAACCAGTGCTCTCCACTGGCTGTGCTGTGCTACACACAAGATGTGCCAGGTGACCATGGCATTGGCAGTCGGCCACATCCAAGGCAGCCACTCGGATGGGCTGGGAGAGGGGCGAGGCGAGCGCATATCAGGCCTCCAGGGGCAGCAGAGCCCACAGGGGGGCAGTGGTCTCCTCCCCCCACACTGGTCTGAAGCCTACACAGAAGGGCTGAAAAGGCCACAGTGAAACCTTCTGGGGCCAACAATTCTGGCAACAAGTTTGGCGAAATGGAAGGAACCCGTTTGGGGTATTCTCTCTACTGGGGGAAAAAAGACCCACGGTCAGAAACCGCCCGCTGATCATTCAAGCCATCTGGAGGAACAATAAATGGGGGCCAGGCTCTCTTAAGGGCACGAGCTTAGCATGGTGATCATGTAACTCAGGAGTCTCCAAACTTGGTAACTTAAGATTTCTGGACTTCAATTCCCAGAATTCCTCAGCCAGCTGTGCCAAGTCGCCAAGTTTGGAGGCTCCTGATGTAACTCATCAGTACGAAACTTAAACTTTGTACCAAAGGTGCTTTTTTCCAAAAGGCAAATTGTCCCCCCCACTCCCCTGGAAAACATTTCACCTCTCATCCAAGAAGCTTCTTCAATTCGGAAGTGAAAAACAAAGAAGCTTCTTGGATGAGAAGTGAAATGTTTTCAAGGGGAAAAAAAAACAGCAAGAAAGTCCACTTCCCTTTTTGTAAAAAGTACCTTTGGGACAACCATGTCCTGGAGGTTTGAGAATCTCCATAGATATTTAAACTTGGAAGAAGGGGTTTACCCTAAAAGAGGGGAACCCTATGCAGCCCAAACCCCGCTTTTGATTTCTTCTGCTTGCTTTCTAAGCTTTAAATGCAGGTCAAGAACTAATTCAGGTTCGACAGTAGCTCAAAATACAGAAGCAACACCCAGACACCCACACAGCCTTTGAAAATCCATTATTATGTAGAAAATAAAAGTTCTCACCAGCTACTTCCACGATATCACCGGGGACGATGTCTCTTGCTTTTATCCTTTGTACACTTTTTCTGTCTTGTCGATAAACTTTTCCCATTTCAGGTTCATATTCCTTAAGAGCTTCAATGGCATTTTCAGCATTTCGCTCCTAAAACACAGGATCAACAGCAGGGGTTCAGTAATTCTCTCTCTATCTATCTATCTACATATATTTTAACTACTGTGCTGAGCAGCTGGCCTCCAAATTTGCCGTTTAATAAATAATCTAGGATCATCCGCTGGCAGAAAGAGAGGCATCGTATTGCTGCTGCAGCCAAGCTAAGGGAGCAGCCTGCAAAATTTCACTGTCAAATGCACAGCCGAAATGCGCAATTTTTTGGTGTGCATAAAGCCAAAAAGGAGATAACCCAACAGCGGAGATCCCTTTTAACTACGGATTCTTATCTCTCTTTAAATAACTCGGATCCAAAGTGTACTTCTTGACTAAATGGGTAACCGATAAATTTGACAACTCAAAGAGTTACAACTAGGTAATTAAGTTCCTTTATACTTTCTCTCCCTGCAGCATTTGGCCCTCCTGGGCAGAGTGTGTTCATTGTTCCAATTGAGAAGCCAAAATAGCAGTTTGGGGGAGGAGGGGGGACACTGTTCCCACAACTTCAACACATTTCACACTCATGACTTGCTAACAAAGTGCCTGCTATCAACACAACATGGTGGTAGGGTTGGGATTTTTAGACCATAACCTTGCAATGCCTCAGGAAGATTTCAGCTTTTTTAGAAAGAGCCCAAGGGCTTCTGAGTCAATGCAACTGTACCTTACTGCTAAAATCTTGCTAAATTATTAGTTTGTCATGAAAAGGCCAGCAGACAAATGAGAAACATCTGCCTGTGGTTTTTGCTGTTACACTTGGGAGATGTAGGACCGCTGGAACCCAAATTAAGTGGGAAATACGTCCATGGAAAAGGAATGTTCATTCGCAGGTATTTCGCTTGTCACAGACCTCTTGAAATAGGAGATAAAGACTAAGGAGGGTAATCACGAAAAGGCGGTTTCAATCTCTTGCTTTTCAAGCTAAGAAATACATTTTTAAGTCACCCCGTCCATTTTCAGAAGCAAGAAACATTAAACTGTCACCAACATTAGCAGACAGATGATTAGTGAATATTAAAGCTTTTTATAGCATTTGTTCTATCACAACAACTACATTTTCATCTGAGTGCCGGAAGAATTTTTCACTCAGTTCCAAGAATTTTTCTTGCTTTTAAAAGGCGGTGTTCATATCAGTACTTTGGGGGCGGCAGCAATAATTTGTCTTTTTCAATAGATGTAAATCTAACCGGAAAAGCCTCTCAACTTTCAGCTATTCCAATACATCAACTGTAAATTAAATCCCTCTAAATTTTAAATCGTTCATTTAATGGGCAGTACTGGGCTTCGGGGCTTATTATTTATTATTTTCATCATTTTAAAACTTCCTCTCTGTTCTGCTCCCATACCACCTTAGTTGGCACCCTCCAGTTCCTATGGCAACAATACCCTGCTATGAAAGATGAATTATGGGCAAATTATGGCTTTCTCATACAACCAAGATGAAAAAGGAGGGGGGAAAAATAGGGTATATTCATGCCAGAAATGTCACTCGCATCTAGGAAGCAAGCTATTAATATTCAGTACTGTATAACTTAGTGGCAGTTCCCAACCACAGTATCGAACTGGTATGTCCCACAAAACAGAGCCCAAGTGACTGCTGGCAGCAAGCCGCATCCACCTGCCCTCATGCAGAGGAAAGCAGAGGTCAACCCAGGCTGCAGGCTGGGGAATTCTGGGAATCGAAGTCTACATGTCTCCCACTTGCCAAGGCTGAGAAATGCTGCTCTGATACATTACCCTGGTAACTTGTTTTGATATTCTCTCATGGAAAATCTGAGTAGGACTAGAAGGCAAACATGGGCTGTGCCCTGATATATGAGGATATATTTTGGTGGATGCAGTGGCTTGGGTAAATTGCACAGGCTGTCATTTACTGGGTATAAGGAACAGTCCCCAAATAAATTGAAATGTTTGGTGGCTCTCAATTTTCACAGATTTAGCCTATCATCTAATCCAGACAACTTTAATTTCTTTCCATGACATTCTAGAGTCCCTTTCCTCTGACAGAGACTGGAACTCATCCCTGCTTTCCTAAAGAAAGATACAACTGATGGTTAAGCATTAAGAAGTCCAAAGTCTCTTTGGTGGACTGAATTAGATACACGGTTATTTGGATCCTGTCTTATCTTTACAACATCCAGCAACTCTCTAAGAATGACAAAGGTTTAACCTAATTTCAGAGCTCGCCTCTGCTTTCAACTTTCTTAATAAATATGATAATGGCGGCTCTAAGCGACTTAAAGCAACCTGTCGAAACAGCACACAGATTTACACGGCTTTTCAGTTTTTCCGAGCACGTCTTTGCTTACCTGCCACACACCCACAATTGCATTAGCAACTAATATGAGTAAGATTACAAAAGGTTCTACAAAGGCTGTGATTGTTTCTTCTCCTTCTTCAAACCAAGCCAACACCTGCAAGAGAGATTAGAAAACTCGGTGAAGATACAGGTATGATTCGGTGGCATTTTCTGTGCTTCAACTTGAATTTTAGCCCGACGTTTATTCCATGGATGATTTCCCAGATCGATTGCACAATTCCAAAATGTCCGCTGACTCACTTGAGCACACCTGAGAAGCAAATTCGATTACCAGGAAGTAATTGCCTCACCTGCGCTTTTCAAGTAGCTCACTGCTTTTAAACTAATTTGCGGATCAGATTAGGCCTGTCGCTTTTTGTTTTCAAAACAAATTATGCTGTAAATAAATCCCATTTGGGTTGGAATAACCCGACAACATCACCACTGCATTCCTTGTTAATAAATCACCCCTTCCTAAGGATAGCCTACGTGGCAATCGAAGGAGCTCCTCTTCAAAATCAGGAGACACAATCCGTATGGGTTACTTAAAGATAAAAGCATGGGTGGCTTTAACAGACAGCAAATTCTCCACTAGCGTTTTTATGCTTGGTCAGCTTGCCAAGAATTGAATGGCAGACAGATTTGATCTGTCCATCAGGCTCTCTGTTATCGCTATGGTCTGCTGCTCACCCCAGCACCATGTCTTCTTTCTATTTGAAGACCTCTTTTCTATTAGAACTTCAGGCTGGCTGGCTTCCAAGATCTTGAGTGCTCCTGATGGCAAGGGATTCTGCTTCCTTTCAAGACTCATCAAGATCTAGAGGGAAAGCGGTTTTTTGTCCGGTTCACAACATGTGCTAAGCCACCAAGTCCTTTGTTTGGGATCATCCAGGAAACCATCATTTGATGGTGTGCTATTCCAGCCAACTAGACTTGGCTCAAGCAAGCTTACTTGTAGTAACTAATGGCTTAATCCAATATATGATCCCATCATTTTCAGCTTCACTGTCCTGGATCAAGAGTGAACTACATATAAAGCCGAAGAAAATTAATATTTAAGGCTAAAGGATCCCTGAAACCATTACTGTGAGATTCTCCTGCAAAAGGACTCAAAGTTAGCTTGCATTCTTTCCTGATTTACAACAAAAAGGGTGTTACTTTTAATTAAGAACTTCCCATCACACTAACCAGGTTGTATTTTGTGTGAAGCCATTGGCTGAGGACACACAGCAGTCTAAGCCATAAGCAAGCCAGCTTTGCTGAGGATTTGCATATCTTGGAACACATCCTAAAATATACCCCTAGAAGACAATGTTAGAAGCTCTGGAAGACGTCCTTTAAATCTGGGTCACCTTTCTGAAGCTAACTCATTGTTCTGACAACATGTCAATATTTCCACAAACTCCATTACAGCTTCGTAAAATGATTGTTTCAAAAAATCAAAAAGAAGTTAAACATGTTCCTCTTAGATTCTAAGACTTAGAACAAAGCACTGATCAAAGAACTTTGGAAATCCTATACCTCGGGTTTTTTGTACTAGCTGAAAATTCTGGAATATTTTCCCCAATTGTCTGAGTTACTCAGAATTAGGAATTTAACTGTTAAGAAAAAGAATGTATATGCTATGTATTCCCCCCCCCCCGAACTTTCTAATTCCAAGGATCATGTTACTGAGAAAGGCACATGGGGTGATGACCGAAATTGACTCGCAAAATGCCAATTTAGGCCTTATGAGTAACCAAAAGTGACTTGGTAGCTTGCATCAAAGGCTGCAATGATTCATGAAGAAAAGGGCGAATATTATGTTGGATATATTGAGCAACAGGAAGTACAGAGCAACTGACTTGAAGAATGCTGAAATCGGTCTTTGGAAGTCATTCAGCAGCAAGTCATTGTTCAGATCTCTTTTAAAGAAAGGCAGGCACAAAAGAAGCAACGGAGGGGAGGGAAAAAAAAGATTCAGAGCAGCTTCTCTACTGCTTTTTCTTAAGAGGCGACTCGGTGGGTTTCCAGATGAGAGGAAATTGGGAAAAGGAGTATAAAGCCTAGAGGCCGGATGACCAAAAATAGTGGTAAAACGGGAGAAAATATCTGGTTTTTCTGTTTGATAAAATGGTAGATGGCGGCCTTGTTCCAACACAAAGCTGGTTGAATTCATACAACACAATGAATCCTAACTCTTGGGTGGGGGAGATGACCTACTACAAGGTCCCTTCCAACTTGATTTACGAAGCGCACCAAGTCCAAAATAAACATCAGGTTACAGTTCTCCAAAATGTGTGAATGGAAACACCAGTTTTTCTTCTTACTGGGGCTGAAATGTAAAACGCAATTTCGAAATTTGCACCGAGGACACAGATCCTCGCAAAGCCAAGCCAAAGGCAAGTCCTGAACCTTTTAGAAATCAGCTGTCCTGTCTTGACCCAGACTGAAAACAAACGGAGAAAACTACAGGCGAATTTAACCTCCCAAAATTTGACTCCCAGGTTCTGTAAAAATGGGTGCAACAGCTATCATTTACTCCTCTGATGAAACTCCAATAATGAAGCAGGTATTTAATATTAGTCCTTGAATATACAACACTGGAACCACTGATTTTTCTCTTCCACTGCACAATCAGTACTGGCAATATATACCATGCATGTTTTTCTTTTGATTTTTGGTTCAGGAAAATCCTTTTTTCTTCCCACTCTGAAGCGCAGACCAGATTTATCTAACTATCGCTTTGAGATGGGTAAGACCAAGCAATCCAGGAGCTGAAATGAACACAACGGAGGCTCTGCCTTCCAGTGTTGGTTACTGGCTATGTAAAAAGGTCAAAGCAATTTAGCAGCCGAGTCTACAAAGCATATGGCGAAGGGGAGGGACATCGGTCGGTTTTTGAAATGACAATCATACATCAGGATACCGTGTCATTAGGTATGCCAACATATTTCAGCGTCAGGAAGCTCCAGGATCTATATGTACTGTAAACCTAAGCCACAAGTGAATTTTCAGGACACCAGCAGCACTGATTTTCGGTTTTAACTGCAATTGTGCCAAGCTGCCATACTGGTCTGACACCGCACTGGACTTGGAGCCAGCATTTTCAAGGGCAATTACCTCCTCTGAGTAATTTTCTTTGCCTGAACTTCCACACTGAGCTACATTTTGAGTTTTTCATGTGCCTCGTAAGTATTGATTGTCCGCCCTCTCCTTCTGCATTCGGTGTACAAATTTGCACCCATTGCAGCTTCCCCTTCTCTTCAAAATGCAGCTACAACAAGCAAAGGCAGAGGTCTTCCCCAGGTAAACATGCAAAGGGTTACAATCCTGAAAAAAAGCTACAGAGCTCAATGAAGCCACTTTTAAGCACTGCCTCCAATTTTGAGTTACTTTTGCAGTCCTTGACTCTATAGGTAATGTTAAGGGACTAAATGCTGTTATGCAATCTACAGAGAGACATGATGCCTAATGGTATTTAACAAAAGACAAGAAGAACATCTGTTCTTCCTTCCTTTCATTAAAGAGGACTCATTAAAGTGAGTTTTTTCTCTATTACATCTCGGCTTGTTTTGGTCCGTTTGATGAATTTGGAGGAGCTTATTAAATGTTAACATTGTCCTCTTTTCGTATTCTCTGCAGGACCATCTGGCTCCCTCAGGAGCTTACCGACTTTGCCCATATTTCACTTAAAATTAAAACAAAGAGAAATATTTCCTAGAATAAATAAGCCTGACAAATTATTCCATATAAATCCTTCAGGGGGATTGCCAGGCATCGGTCTAAGTTATTCCCATGTTCTTATGAGTCAATACTCCCTAACAAGTGTTGGAGAAAGATAAAGCTGTTAAGAGAAGGAAATGGTGGGAACTGTTTGCTATGATGCCAAACTATTAGATATAGAGACATCTTTGAAATAAAGAAAACCACCAAGGCTACGTACCATTTAAAGACTATGCAAATTCTAAGAGATCTGCAATTTTTTTCCTTTGCAGCCCTGGGGGAAAAAATCCATTATAACGGATTTTTGCTTGTCTAATAGCACCAGTATCTAAATTCTCACGTTTCCAAATAGCATTAGGCTAAAAAATGGGTTTAATGGATTATTTCGTCGCTTGCCTGAACTCACTCAGGGGCACAAGCTCAAACCTTTTATTAAGATTGCCGAAAGTACAGTATATTTCTCAGTTAGTTCTACCGATGGGGAATATCAGCAGCCATTCTTCAGGGATTTTTTTTTTTTTTTTTTTGCTTAAAAAGGCAGGGAATAAATTAAGGGAATGGAATAATCTTGCCTTTTGGAGGCAAGATTGATGGGAACATGCACACCAGTTGCTAGGGAACACAAGAAGAAATGATCTTTTTAAGCAAGGAGCAACTTTTAGAGACCCAGACTAATATTTCCTCTTGGTTTTTATACTGTACTGAGGTTTAAGTCTTTACAATTAAAGATTTAGCTGAAATGTACAGAAAAATAAGGCACCAGTTAATGTTGTGCAATTGGGCTTCTGCTTTGCAAATGTTCCTTTCTTTCCCACCTCATTGCAATTTCCTTTGAGGTAACATTGCTCAGCCTTGGGCATTTTAAGCTGCGTGGACTTCAATTCCCAGAATTCCCCAGCCTGGGGAATTCTGGGAGTTGAAGTCCACACACCTTAAAATGCCCCAGGTTGAGAAACAGTTCTCTGAAGGATCCACAACCGTTTCTTCTTTAAATTCACTCTCAGCAGAAAAACAAGAAAGTGAAGATACTCTGAACATGGCTTCACTACTTGGTATATAACATTATATATCTGATTAGCTGGATGTTTTATTTTATTTATTTATTTTATTTATTTATTTATTTATTTAATTTGTATACCGCCCTTCTCCCAGAAGGGACTCAGGGCGGTGAACAGCCAAAATTAAAAAACATACAAATGCAAAAGTTAAGATAATTAAAAGAATTAAATCATTGGCTACCCAAATTTAAAACCCCAAATCCATAGTTTTATCTGATTCAGGTTAAAATCCCCCTCTGCGCAACTCTCTGGGAAAAGGTTTCACTTGAATTTACACTTGCCAACCTGTTGTCCTGCTACTGACAGGATTGTCTGCTGGAGTCATAAGTAGGAGCTGCTACAAAGGGGGGTGATTGAATATCAGCCCAGAGAAAAGAGATCATGCCAAAGGTAGAACATGGTGTCTGGATGCTTAGCGTGAAGTAACGCTTATTCGACTTTATTTCTGTTAAACGAGTAAGATGATCCCTCATATTCCAATAAGTGAACCTTATCTCTGTTGCATCTGTTATTCTTCGGACCCAGAAGAACAATTGTAGCGATTGGCCTTACGGATTCAACCGCCACACTTAGAAGCACAGAAAGCCATTTTGCTTTTCAAATAATGCCTCGTCCTTCCCTCAAAACGAGGCCGGAACTGCAAAATCTAAAACAAGGAAAGGTCTTCCCAACACTGGAAGTCATCTGAACATCTTCTACTGGCATACAGCAATAGACTTATATACCGCTTTAAGCGGTTTAGAGAATCAGCATATTGCTCCCAACAATCTGGGTCCTCGTTTTGCCGATCTCGGAAGGATGGAAGGCTGAGTCATATGGTCTTATACAGACAACCACAATTTTCTAATCCAGAACAGCCTTAGAAAGGGATCACTTTTGGGGCATGTGACTGTTGTGCTTTTTCTAAATTAATGACACACCGTCCTAACCTCATTAGAAATCGCCAAGAAGGCAGCAATTAGGGCATTTTAGTACGTTGTTCCCACAATTCTTTCAGCATTAAATGGGACGCTTCAGACATCATTTCAGAATTTTGACTCATTATGATTGAGGTTACTAGCTGTCCCGTTTTGCCAGGAAAAAGTATTCTCAAATCAGGGAGTCTCCAATCATGGTTTAATTTAGCAATATTCCTGCATAGGAATCTCTGGCCTATTGCTCTTCTAAGACACCATCAAATCAAGAAGGGGGGGAAAAACCCTTTGTTACAACAGCAGTGAGAGATTTCCATTAAGGCATCATGGTCAGTAAAACAGGAGGCACATCAAAGCAAGGACACTGGGCTGTGGGTACCAGCATGCCTGCTGAGAATCAAAGTTCGTTTTGTCATCAAAACCAAGTTCAAGGAAAAAGCGAGGAAGCAGAAGGATATTAAGTTTGGAAGCACTGTACAACTTACATGGAACAACCGAATACAAACAGGTCAAATTTAACCCAAGATTGAATGATAACTATTAAAAGTTAAGGAATGCAAGGACCGCAAAGAATGGAAGGTTATTTACTGCTGTGGAATTAATACTCTTTCAATTAAACTCAGAAATAGCCCAACAGGCCACAAAGAAATACTCACTACTATACAGAAAATAGTTTTGGAAATCTTTCTCCAGGCTAATTCATGTCATGGTAACTAACAAGAGCAGTGTTCTGGGCTGGGAATTTCAAACCATCTTCAAGACCGATTTTTTTGTATATAAATTGCCCAATCTCATCGTTGTGTGTACAATTTTAGTGTGAGGAGGCAACCTTGAAGCTTTTGGTGCGCCAACAATTTTCCTGCAAAAAGTCTACCATAATAAAGAAGTTATTTTAACCGATTAACTGCAAAACCAGCGTTCTATGTATGTTTCTCTCCTTAATTGAGACTCGTGGGACAATTCTAGGACTCAACAGTTTATGTATCATTATTTTAAATGATAGAAAAAGAATGGGCACCCTGGCAGTCTACCACACCTAGGGCAACCATAATTGGATCTCATCATGCACCAGCAGCTACTTGTCGATTAACCATTCATCCACCCCAAAGTCACCAAGAAAAAGCTGAAACACAATGACTAAACGACTTGTTGCTGCAGAGAAGAAAATCTATGCGAAAAAAACTCAAAAAAACTTACTTTCCCAGCTGGGTGAGTCAATGGCATGAAACTCTCACTGGCTCAAATTCTGGACTCCAGTTAAGTCAAGGGTGCACTGTTTGGTTTCATTTCTAAGGTCTCTAATTTAAAGACAGAGACACAGAAAACTACCCTATGTATCAATAACTGCTGAATTAGAACTGGGGACAGGAGTTTCACATACAACTTCTACAGGCCAATCTGGATATGTGAAGCTTCTCTTTTCACCAGTTTCCAGGTGCCCTCAAAATCTACTCTAGAGGAGTATCCTGAGAACTGCGACAATCTATGTCTAAATCAGGGGTGTCCAATTTTAGCAACTTTTAAGATCTGTGGACTGCAACTTCCAGAATTCCCCAGCCAGCTGGCTGGGGAATTCTGGGAGTTGAAGTCCACAGGTCTTAAAGTTGCCAAGGTTGCACACTGCTGGTCTTAACGAAACCTTGAAGGACAGTCTAGGAAGTGAGATACTTTGCAAAGCTCACCCTGTTGTATCCCACTTACAGTGAATTTTTTTCTCCCCCATCTCCCACTCTTCTCCAAATGCATACTTGGCACCTGGCAACGTGACCCTATCCTTTTACACATTATTTTAACATTCCGACTCGATTTCACAGCCCTCATCCTACCCCATTGTGCCCAGGGAGCAAAGAGTTTACTTTACCAGAGGCTTCCCAAAGGTCAGTGACCAAATTTGGTCAACAATGGTGCCATCATTGCTGTCATCATTCTTGTCACTGTCAAGAGCAACAACTGTCACCTTGCTATTATCAGCAAGAGAAGGCAACTGGCATATTCCCCCCCCCCCCATACAAATTCTATTTACAGTTTGCATTGCATCCAAAAAAAGACTTCCAGCAGTCTCGGTGAGTTTCATAACAATCAACCACCGCTAAAAAAAAAAAAACCAGCCACCCTACAGCAGTTGACTTTCTGGCTGGGGCCAAGGTTAAAAGGCAAGAACCTATTTCAGACACAGAGACAGCCATGTCTGTTCACAATATTCAAGTAGGCCTGGCTTAGATTGCTGTGTATTCTCATCCAATCATTCCCCTGACATTGTATTTGTTACAAGAAACTGCTCAAGATTCTGAGGTGCAATCTACTGAACTCAGCTGCAAAGACAAAGCATTTATTTTAAGCCAATGGCAAGACAGAATAAGGATACCCAGTCTTCTCCCCAAAAATCATTTTCTAACTCTCACTAGCAATCCAGCAACCCTGTGTGTCCATGAAGATAAAAGCCATCCGTTCAAAACAAGGGAGATACTTACAAAAGATATACATGCTGCCAGCAACAAAATTCTAACTAATAAATCTTCAAATTGTTCGATCACCAGCTCAAGTAAGGTTTTTCCTGCCAAGAAAAAGATTCAGACTTCAGTCAGCGAGCAGAGAGGGTGGGGAAGAAAAAAAAAGAATCAAGCAAGACAAGGCTTCAGATGCCGGCTTACCTTCTTCAGCTGGTAGTTCTTCAAAACGCCAAAGAGTCGCAGGAACCAAGTCAAGGGGGAGAAAAATCAAACACAACAATTGTCAGAAATATAAAGGTGCCTGAGCTAGATCAAAGAGCTTTTTGGCTTTCAAAGGCTTCAGGGCCAAGGGAAGAGATGTTCTAAGGGGATGAGCAATGCAATAGTTAATTAGGCTTCCTTCAACGAGGCAGAGAGAGAGAGGCAGGCGGGCGGGCGGGCACAGGCTTCCCTGCATTTTACGTCAAGAACATTTCGGCATCCAGCTCTCTCTCTCTCTCTCCCTCTCTCTCACGGAAGGGTTAGCAATCCAGCCAAGTCATCACTGCTCTTCCCTATGGTTCCTAATGCGGCTCCATGCTTTCCACTATTCCCCATTCACTCCTCTGAAAGAGGGGTGAGGGTTGGTTTTTTTCTTTTTTTAATTTTCCCATGCCCATCAGGGTAGAGGTTTCCTCCCCACCCTACTTCCCATCTTGCAAGCCCTAGAACTGGCTTTTGACAATCAGAGAAAGCCCAAGCAACAGAGCCAGGCAGGAAAGGCAAGAAAACAAAGGTCAAATCAAGCCAAAAAGGAAGAAGAAACCGGGAAAAAGGGAGGAGAGGGTGGGGGAGAGAGGAGACCCCCGCCATCCCCCCAGGAGATGGGGAGGCTTTCTCCCTTTCTCTCTCTCTTTCTCTCCTTCCCAGGAAGGTGCCCGGCGGGTTTCCACGTTGCACAGCCCGCGGCAGCAGCTGAAGGGAACCCACGAGGTCGATGGCCAAGTCAGCCATCTTCTTCTCTTTCTCCCCCCCCCTTTTTTTTTCTCCTGGCAGGCTCCAGTTGCCAGATTGGGGAGGGAGGGGAGCAGGCGGAGGGTCTGGGTTAGATGGATAGATATGGGGAGTGGGGGGCGAGAGGAATAGATCTGGGGTGGGAGGGGGTGGTCTCCATCTTCCCGGGCGGAGGATCGGGATAGATGGATGGATCTGGGGAGGGGAGGAAAGGAATAGACATGGGGTGGGGGGATCTCCATCTTCCTGGGCAGAGGGTTGGGACAGACAGATAGATAGATGGATAGGGAGAAAAAGCGGGGAGGGGGTTTGATATGGGGTGTATGTGGGGGGGGGCATCTCCATCTTCCTGGGAGGAGGGTCTGGATGGATATGGGAAGGGAATAGATATGGAATCAGGGGGGCGAACCTGAATATGGGGTTTGGGAGAGGAGTAATCATCCTGCCCAGGGTCAGGATAGAAGAGTGGGGAGGGGGATAGACTCAAGGGGGGGGGGAGTGATTGCCAATAAGAGGAAGATGGGGGATAGATATGGATTCGGGGGGAGGGGTGTTGAATATGAATGTGATGAGGAATACGGGGTGGGGGGGCATCACCAAGAGGAGGAAGAGGATGGTGAGGGAGAAAATCCCCCCCCCATATAGAGGGGGGAGAAGGGGGGGCGGCCGCCCACGCCTACCGTTGGCTCCCCACCGCTCCTTCTGCTTCTTGACCTGCTCCAAGCTGAGCCCGGTGCTCTCGTTGACCCCGAAGTAGCCCAGCACTTCCTCCACCGTCTTGGTGTGCCCGTTCTCCATGGCGGGGGGTCGGGGGAGGGGGTCGGAGGAGGAGGAGCTGCGGGGGCCCCCCCTTCCTTCTTCGGCGGCGGCAGCAACGGAAAAAAAAAATCAAAGCGGGGGGGGGAGGGTGTTGTTTTTTTTTTTTAAAAAAAATAAAAATAAAACGGGGGGCGCCTCGGCCTGCCCCCCCTCCCTCTCTCTCTCTCCCTCAGCCCCCCCCCGGCTCTTCCTTTTGTCTTTTGAGGGGTTTTTTTCCTCGCTTTCTCCTCCTCGCGTGAGGGAAGGTCACGGAAATGGGGGGGGGGCGCCGCCTCACGCGAGGGTGGGGGGGGGGGAGAGCGCCGGTGGGGGAGGGGAAGGGGGCCCTGAGGTAAAAAAAAAAATTAAATAAAAAAAAAATAAGCCGCTGCTGCCGAAGAAGAAGCAGAAGCCGAAGAAGAAGAAGCCGGCCTGGGCCTCCCGCGTCTGGCGTCGCTGCCTTGCCCGGCTCTGGCTGAACCGGCAGCGGCTGCTCTAATAGAATTTATCCGAGGAGACTCGCCGCTGCCCCTCTCGCGGCCGCGGCATGTGGACGACGCCGATTGGACGCCCGCCGGCAGGACCGCCCCTCGCGTCACGACAGGGACCCGGATGAGGCCACGCCCCGCCGGGAGCCTGCGCCAATCGCCGCCGAAGGAGCCCGGGCACGCACGGCGCGCGCCGCGGACAGCGGAGGGAGGGAGGAGGGAGAGGAACAAAAAAAAAAAAAAATTTTTTTTCTAAAAAAAAAAAAAAGGACAAAGGAAAAAATCGGGCCGACCGGACCGGCGTTTGATTTTGTGGATCGACGGTTTATTATGCTAATCGCCCTCGCTCTGGCGGGAGAGAGGCTAGGCGGGCGGGAGGGCAGGCGGGCGGGCGCCGAAACCTAAAGCAGCTTTTGAAAGGCGTGGGCGGCCGAGTGCGGAGCGTTAACGGACGGGGTGGGAGGGGGAAGAGTGTGTGGGCGGGGCTTGCGCTTGGAGCTGCGGGAGGACACGTGGGGCGGCCGGGCTCGGACACGCGTGTGAATGGGGGACAGGCGTGGGGGGGGGGTTGGGGGTCGTCGTGGCGGGGTTTAGTATTTGCAAAAGGAAGCGCAGGATGGCTTAGGCCGCTTTTGCAAAGCAAGCTAAAAAACCCCGTGCCCTTGGGATTTTTTTTTTTCGTAACGTGTGAATGCAGGCAAAATTAAGCTGGGTTGATTAATCTGGGTTTATTGGGGCGGGGAATGGAATTGACGGGGGTTTCCACCAGCGGGGCGGCATACAAATTGAATAAATAAATAAATAACCCATATTAATTCTGGTTTAGACTCAATGGGGTCAACCTGAGCACATTGTAAGCCACCCTGAGTCTCCGGAGAAGGGCGGCATATAAATCAAATTGAAAAAAAAAAAAAAAAAGAGTTGGAGAGGACCTTGGAGGTCATCTAGTTCAACCCCCTTTCACACGCAGGAAACCCTGCTGCACAAGTGGCTGTCCGGTGTCTTCTTAAAAACCTCCAGGGATGGACCACCCAGATTTATCATAATTTATCTTCATGTACCCAGAGAATTATAGAACATAGGAATAATAGGAAGGGACCCTTGGAGGCCATCTAGTCCAACCCCCAGCTCAAAACAGGAGCCCCCTATAGCATTCGGGACAAATGGCAGTCCAATCTCTTCTTGAGAACCTCCAGGGATGGAGGCAACAGGCAGGCTGATTTCGGTGCCTTTCTCAGCAAGGAGGAGGAGAAGGGTGTTTAAAAAGCAGCGGGGGTCGGTGGATGATGGGTAAGAGGTGCATTCCAAAATCCCAGCACCCATCTCTAGGCTTGAATTCTTTCCCACCACCTCCAAAAAAATCCCTTGTTTACTTCTCTGCATTTTATGCTAGGAGCGACCTGCTCCGCTAAAAAGACAATTAAAAAAAGGGCCTTAGAAACCACACAGTTTGCTTCTTTTCACCGGCGATTTTGGCTCGTCAGCGGGAAACCAGGGGAGGCTTCGGGGCGGATAAATTGCCTCTGGAAATGGAGCAAGAATTAGGATGGGAGGCAGCAAGACAAACAACACGCAGCAGCGCTCGGGAGGAGCGGAGACGGTGGCGTGAATGCAGAGTGGGACCTTGGCGGAAATGGAGGTCACGGCGGAACAAGGAACCCTCCTCGCTTCGACGGGGGATACGACTTCTTTCGGCCGCAAGCAAGCTGCGAAATCTCGGGGATCTAATGAAATAAAAGCCCAGACTTTTAAACCGAGTGGGGTTGAATTAAAGGTTGACCAGGCCAGACTCGGATGAAAGGGAGTTGGTTTCGGACATCTGTGACGTGTTTACGTGTGAATCCATCCAGCCGGTTCCGTGGTTCAACCGTGACGTGGCCCCCACCTGCAAAACAAAGCCACTTGACTCGCAGGCAATCTACTCGTTTGGGAGGTGGAGGAAGCTTGGAGTAAGAATAGAAAGGGCGTTGTGGGTCGGTATTTGGACGAACGTCCTAGAGGTTTGAATGGCACTTCCGTGTGCTGCTCGTAGCCCCAAAGATATTAGACGTTGATCTGTCATTTGAGCGTCGGAAAGGACTTCGTTGTCCCTTCCCGGTGACAGCGGCTGAAATACTGAGCAGGCCTGCCACCTTGTATGACACGGTGGGTGCACGGAGATGCTAAGTCACTAAAGCCCATGTCTCCTTTCTTGGCATAGGCCTTGTGTTCTTGTACAACACGGAACGTGTCCCCTTCTCGGTGCCAATCCTTGATAAAGCGTGTTTTGCAGATGATGATGGGCAGGAGGGCGAAGGGTGGGAGGAGGAGGTCTGGGATGGGCCTGATCCTGTGCTCAACAGCCTTGTTTGATGGGACCCAACTGAGGCCAGGAAAGGAGGTCTTCTCCAATAGCAGAAGGAACGTGGTGGCTCAGCAGACTAAAGCACTGTTATTAATATCCACTTACATCTGCTGCCTGCAATTACTGCTAGTTCGAATCTCGCCAGGCTCAAGGTTGACTCAGCCTTCCATCCTTTCCAAGGTAGGTAAAATGAGGATCCAGATTATGGGGGCAATAAGCTGACTTTGTATAAATATACAAAAGGATGAAGGCTATTGCTTAGCGCCTTGTAAGCCGCCCTGAGTCTCCGGAGAAGGGCGGCATATAAATCAATTTAAAAAAAGAAAAAAAAAAAGATGCTGTTGGGGAAAGGGAATGGACTAAATTGTCTGCCCGGGTTCTAGGCCTACTCACATGATACCAGGAAGCCCCTTGACCATCTGCTCTGGTGGAACATGCATCTCCTTGGGACATCAAACTTCAGTCAGCCAGGCTTAGCAGGATACTAGAATTTAGGGCTAAGGGAACTTGTTGTTAGTTGTGAAGTTGTGTCCGACGCATCGCGACCCCATGGACCACCTTCCTCCAGGCCTTCCTGTCCTCTACCATCCTCTGGAGTCCATTGAAGCTCACGCCGACTGCTTCAGTGACTCCATCCAGCCACCTCGTTCTCCGCCGTCCCCTTCTTCTTCTTTTGCCAGCATTTCCAGCATTCGGCTCTTCTCCAGGGAGTCCTTCCTTCTCATGAGGTGGCCAAAGAATTTGAGTTTCCTCTTCAGGATCTGGCCTTCTCAAGAGCAGCCAGGGTTGATCTCCTCTAGGACTGATGGTTGGATCGCCTTGCAGTCCAAGGGACTCGCAGGAGTCTTCTCCAACGTTCAAAGTTCAAAGGCCTCCATTCTTTGGCGCTCAGCCTTTCTTATGGTCCAACTTTCACAGCCATCCATTGCAACTGGGAAAACCATCGCCTTGACTATACGCACTTTTGTTGGCAGGGTGATTTCTCTGCTTTTTACTACGCTATCTAGATTTGCCATGGCTTTCCTCCCCAGGAGCAAGCGTCTTTTAATTTGGCTGCAGTCCCCATCTGCGGAGATCTTGGAGCCCAGGAAAATAAAACCTAGGAACAAGGTGTGTCTACCCTAACTAAGAGAAGGCTCAGGGGAGACACGAGAGGAGTCTTCCAATGCCTGAATGGCTGCCATGGGGAAGCGAGCGTCCATTTAGTCTCCGTAGTGCCTGAGGGCAGGACAAGAAGCAATGGGGGGGGGGGGAACTCTCATCAATAGAATTAAGAGAAATTTCCTGATGGGGAGAACAGTAAATCAGTGGGACGTCCTCCCTCCAGAAGTTGTGGGTGCTTCATCACTGGAGGTTTTTTTTAGAAGAAATTGGCTTGTCTCCAATTGTATAAGGTCTCCTGCAGGGGTGGGGCTGCTGGAGGTTCGCAGGGGTTCGGGAAAACCTCTAGCTAAGATTCCGTGCAGTTCGGAGAACCCCCAAATCCCACTCCTGGCTGGCCCTGCCCACCCCGCCCCTCCCAGGAGTCCCCACGCGGCCCGTTTTGGATGCAGGTAAGTGCAGGGCGCGCGCAGAGGCTCGGGGAGGGCGAAAAACGGGCCTACCGGAAGTTCAGGAAGGAAGGGCCTCTGGAGCCTGGGGAGGCCATTTTTGCCCTCCTGGAGGCTCGAGGAAAGCCTCCGGAACCCAGGGAGGGCAAAAACGCACCCCCTGTGGTGCAGAAGGCCAACTAGGCAACGCCCACCATGGCCACACCCACCCAGCAACCAGGCAGAGAACCCCTTGCTAAAAATTTTGAAGCCCACCCCTGGTCTCATGCTTGAACAGGGGGTCGGACTACAAGACCTCCAGAGTCCCTTCTATCTCTATGATTCTAACAACGTAATACGAACGCAATTATTCCAGCCTTCAAAAAATAATAATAATAATAAGGAAAACCGTGATTTGTTTTCTAACCATCCTGGCCACCAAGTGATGGCTGAGCCAGCCTGCAGCTCAATTTTCGAGGCCCCCTCGGAGAGCAAACCTTTCCCAGAGCAAGCTATTTCCAGGCAGGCTGTCCTGGTTTTCTCTTTGACTTCTCCCGGGCTCTCTTCGACGTCAAAGGGATTTGTGTGCTTGCAGAAATTGTCCTGACCTCCAGCACACACCCACCCACCCCACTTTCTATTTTAGACCGTCGGTTTCCTGGCTTCTGCGGATATTTTCAGATTTGTTGGTTCTCTGTTTTACCCAAACCTGCAGAATTGTGCAAGCAAGGGAAACGCTTTCGACGGACAGCCGTAACTCTGGAGAGCATGGGAAAGAACGCCAGTCCTGCAGTGCTGGCCTAAGACGAGCCTCCTTCATCGGCTCTCCAAATGGGAATCTGCTTCCCCCTCCTAATCGGCCAGCTTGCCTTTTAGACAAAGTTCGCTTTTATCCTTTTTTTAAATTTCTACCCGTTCCTCTCCTTTCCTTCGGGTCTGCCAGCCAAGCTTCCACCCTGGGCCGTCGTCAAAGCTGAAAAGTGAAATGATTCGATGGAAAAGCAAGCTTGAAATTTAACGATGCCGTTAATTGAGTTTTAAAGCCAGAAGTGACACATTTGAAGATTTTTTCCCTGGGACGGAGATAAAAGGATAGGCGCTTCCTTTGTTAAATGTTTGCATCAGGCAGACCCATAAAAGTTACTCATCCTTTTGGGAGCTTTTCTATGGCAATAAATTCAGCTGGCAGGGTGTTGACAGTGAGGGATGGACCGGGAGGAGACTCAAGGCACCCAAATTAAGAACGGGATCCTCTTCTGGGCTTGCCCAGTGGTTGAACGCCGGCCAAAATGCTTCAGGTACCCCTCTGGACCGGTCACAGCAAAAAGACACCCAGCAAAAATGTTGAGTTTTTAAATGGGCAATTTGGAGGTCCTTGGTCTGTCCCAGGAGGAGAAACCATCGTAAAGATTTAAGGCTCTAAGTTTCCAGCCACACTCACTCACGCACACACACATATATATATGGTACTTAAAACTATGCTAAGAAAGAAAATAATAAATTGCAAGCATCGAAAAATCGACGAAAGAGTTCAGGTGCGCATGCGTGAGCCAGGGCGATCAGTTTTGGAAGTCATTAGATGCAAAGCTGTTAATATTCCAATACAGGAACTGTCAGGGCAGTCAGGAGAAATTAGCTGATTGCGTTCCCGTCCCTCCGGAGCGGTGGCCGGCTGCCTGAAAATTAATTCCATCATCTCTCTTCCATTCCGTGCATCTTCTCCGTCCATTTGCATACGAAACTAACCATCGGGAGACGGGAGGAATGGCAGGCATCGCCTTGCAACCCCTAGGAAGGGCTGACCGGTGTTCCCTGTGCCAAAGCTGGTCGGCCATGCCTTCGGTTCTCTTCTTGCAAGGATGCCACCGGGGATTTTCCCTAGCAGAAGCCGGAGGAAGATAGGATAGGAGAGCCCGTCTCACGTTGCAGCCACACAGCCAAGGAGCAAAAGGACCAAGGCCTCCATAACCAAGTGGCCGATGGAGGAGGGGTTTGTGGCAACGACCATCAGCTGGCTTGCAAACCTGCAGGATTTTAGGAAGCGCCTCGGCGAAGACGAGGCCCCAAAAAGTGCTTTTCAAAAGGCAACTGGACTTTCTTAGGGTTTGGGGTTTTTTTTCTTCTTCTTTTCTTGAAAATGTTTCTGAAGAGCTGAAGAAGCTCCTTGGATGAGAAGCGAAACGTTTTCAAGAAAACAGAAGAAAGCGTTTGGAAAAAGCACCTCTGGGACCCCCGCGATGGATGGATGACTTGAGAATCTCCGTGGGGGAGAGAAGATGCAAAGATGCAATCGTCCTGAATGTCCTGACCTATGAACGTTCTGCGGAAATGATACCGGAGCAATACGGAGACTAATGTAAACCATAATCCGCCCGACCCTCTTCAACGCTGGCAGTCAGGATTTCCTGCCTCACAATGCGAACCTGGGTCTGAATTGTCGTAGGCGACCAGGAAATCCCAAACCTCGTGTGTGCGAGGACTGCGAGGAGGTCAAGTTTTGCTGTGGTTGTGACCTGGAGGTGGGGGGGGGAGGTTGTGTTTCTGAGCACTCCCGCTCTCTGTCCAATGCCATGTGTGGAATTCAGCTCGTCGCAAAATTGCGGCCTCCTAAAGCTTGGAAAGCAAATCCTTCGAGTGAGAGAGAGGCCCTGATTTCATAGGTAGCTGCTCCTTTGCGATGTTCAGCGTGACAATGCATAACCAGGTGGATCTTGTTGTTATCCCACAATGGGAAGTGCTTGGAAGCCAGGCTGGTGTGTTGTAAAAAGGGACGCAGGTTAAATCTGCCTCCTCCTCTTCCTCTCTTACAGAGGGGCTTCTTGGTTTGCTTAACAGACCTCACCCATTAAACCAGAGGTCTTCAGACTTGGCAGCTTTAAGACTTGTGGACTTCAACTCCCAGAATTCCCTGGGTTTCTGGCACATGCATGTCCACTGGCCAGCTGGTCTTCGGGTTTCCAGCGGCCCGGTACACATGCGTGCACGCACATAGGCACGTTCCAGTTTGGGCACTCTGTGCCGAAAAGGTTTGCCATCACTGCCCTATGCCATTCCAGACAAATGGCTCCCCAGTCTTTTCTTGAAAACCTCCAGCAATTCCCTCAACACCGTCAAACTATTGACTAAGTCTGCACTACTATTCATCTTCTCATCGTTCCCACCACCCATCTCCTCCCACTTAGGACTGCATGACGGTAACCTTGTTGCTGGTATCCTTACGATTTATATTGATATTGTTTCCTGATTGCTTATTTGTACCCTATGACTATCATTAAGTGTTGTACCTTATGATTCTTGATGAATGTCTTTTTATGTACCAAAGACAAATTCCTTGTGTGTCCAATCACACTTGGTCAATAAAGAATTCTATTTCTATTATTTCTATTTCTATTTCTATTTCTATTTCTATTTCTATTTCTATTTCTATTCTATTCTCTTCTATTTTCATTCTATTCTCTTTCTATTCTATTCTATTCTATTCTAGTCTCTTCTATTTTCATTCTCTTCTCTTTCTCTTCTCTTCTATTCTAGTCTCTTCTATTTTCATTCTCTTCTCTTTTCATTCTATTTCTATTTTCATTCTATTCTGTTTCTATTCTATTCTATTCTTGTCTCTTCTATTTTCATTCTATCCTATCCTATCCTATCCTATCTTATCCTATCCTATCCTATCCTATCGATGGTTGAGTCCGTACTAGATCTGTGATTTTTGGTTGGCTTTAACTCAGATGGTTCTGTGCCTACAACATGGTAAAATCTGCTCACCCTTTCCTTATGGACGCTTCAGTGGCCGGGTTCCCACATCCTGTTTAACAAGCCAAATTCAAATCTGCGTTGACCCCAAGCGATCTGAAGCAGACTGGCGGCTTCCCAGCGTATATTTCAGGTTTGCTCATTCGGTTATAAATAGTCCTCAGGTTCGTCCCCGTGGCTCCCCTAGGTGGGGAGAACAAAAGGCCAAGGGGAGAGGCCCAACCACTTGAGACTCGCAGTAATAATAGCATCTGGTTGGCTTTTCTCCTTGTTGGGTTCCTCTGGCTTTGGGGCTGAAGCAGGCAGAGGAACATAATCCCTTCGGTGCTTCTTCTCCCACAGCCCCCCTCCCAAGGGGAATTCCAGCTATTGGGGATGGGGGACGGAGGGTGGGGAGAAACGTTGGAAGAGAAAGGAGATACTCCAGCTGGCCGCTTGGTCTCTTGGCCACCTCGGCTGGTGATCTGAGCTGGCTGTCATTGTTGCAAGTCCAACCCAGGAAGATATCTGGGCAACCTCCAGAGAAGAGAAAACACCTCCCTCTAATAATAATCCTTACGGCTTCTAACTGGATCATCCTTTGACATTTTGTCCCCGGGGCGGGGTTACTTGAGTCCATTGTGAAGTAATGTGGCTGGGGGTGCGGGAAGGGGGGGGAGAGAGGGGGTGGTCGCTGTTCTGACAACCCCTTCAATCGATGCTCACAAATGGTCCAGGGTTTTTGGCATTGTACACAGGCCGAAAGAGTTTGGAAAGCCATGGGGCCAGACTGGGCAAGAGAGAAAGACGTGGGAGGGGGGTTGTCTCTTTTCGAGGAGAGAACGCCCGAAGAGTGTTTAGGACAGGGGTCTTCAACCTTGGCCATCTTTAAGACTTGTGGACTTCAACTCCCAGAATTCCTCAGCCGGCGTGGTTGATTTCTCCCCTGAATCAACCAAGCTTTGAAAGTGGGGTGACCTTTGCGAAGTATTGAGTCTCAATTTCTGGGTTGACCTTGAAGGTTTCCTTTAGACCTGGGATGGACAACTTTTAAAACCTGTGGACTTCAGTTCCTAGAATTCTAGGAGTTGAAGTTCATCCATGCCATGGATGGACACGGGCCTAATCTTTTGAACCAAAAAATTTAGGTACCTCTTTTGTGTCTGTGTGTTGAATACACACAACTAGAGATCAGCCATCACTTCTGGAGTCCTTTCCTGTCTCAGAAGGTGCTTGCCACCTGTATGTCAAAAGGAAATTATGTTGTGTTATATGCAGTTGTTGTTAGTTGCGAAGTTGTGTCCGACCCATCGCAACCCCATGGACCACGTTCCTCCAGGCCTTGCTGTCCTCCACCATCCTCTGGAGTCCATTGAAGCTCCCACCAACTGCTTCAGTGACTCCATCCAGCCACCTCGTTCTCTGTCGTCCCTTTCTTCTTTTGCCATCCATCGTTCCCAGCATTAGGCTCTTCTCCAGGGAGTCCTTCCTTCTCATTAGGTGGCCAAAGGATTTGAGTTTCCTCTTCAGGATCTGGCCTAAAGAGCAGTCAGGGTTGATCTCCTCTAGAGTCCAATAAATTGGGTGTCTGGTGTACACACCCACGCACACACACACAGCTAAGTAAAATTTGAAATCTTCCCAAAATAGCTTCAAAGCACTTTTTTTCAAGGAAACCCAGAAAAAGAGTCTGGATCACTGGGAATGTTCCATTAGCTTTGCCCCCAAATCCCCTTTAACGAAAACGGAGGGGGTTTTTTTGTTTGTCTTTTTGTTTTAATTAGGACTTTGATTTAAATGATTGGGACAGATGTGGCGGACTCTTCCCCCCCCCACTCTCCCAGTCCCTGGAATGGGGTGGGGGGGTGGGGAAGGGCATTGGGGATTACAGAAGAGATGAGAACCAAAGAGGAAAGCATCAAGAGGACCTTAAAAGGCAAGTCAGCAAACTCAAGGCAACACGGTTATCTGGGAACTGAGAGGGATGACAATTTTAGGACCGGTGAAAGGATACGAAATGTCTTTGCAACGGGAAGAGAGAAATTTTGCCAACTTAGGTTGCCCAAAGATTGGCTGATTTCTGTAGCAGGCCTGGTTTTGCAACCCCAAAGGCACGCATTGTTGGGGCATAAACCATGATGGTTACAGGAGGGGCATGCTTCTTAGTAAACAAGAGCAGGATTTCATTCCCACTGCATCCTTCTGCTTTGGATCACGGCCAACTCCTCTTCAGGTCACAGAGACTTCGGGGCTTAACAGATTCACGTCCCACCTGTTCAGAACTTCCTCACGATTCCCAGATTATGTTCCCAGTCTGCTTGAGATCTCTTTGGATGGAGGTTACCGTCCACTAAACCTCCGAGAGGATTCCGGCTTCACAGCAATACATTTTGGAGGGGGCTATCCATGTTTCTCTAAAGCAGGTGTGTCCAACTTTGGTAACTTCAACTCCCAGAATTCCCCAGCCAGAATTGTGGAGTCCCAGAATTCTCCAGTCAGAATTGTGGACTTCAACTCCCAGAATTCCCACTCCTGAACTGCATGTAACACAACATAATTTCCTTTTGACATACAGGTGGCAAGCACCTTCTGAGACAGGAAAGGACTCAAAAAGTGATGCCTGCTATTCTAGCTGTGTATATTCAACACAAAGAGACAAAAGAGGTAGCTAAATTTCTTGGTTCAAAAGATTAGGCCCGTGTCCATCCATGGCATGGATGAACTTCAACTCCTAGAATTCTAGGACCTGAAGTCCACAGGTTTTAAAAGTTGGACGCCCCAGGACTAAAGGAAACCTTGAAAGTCAACCCAGAAATTGAGACTCAAAACTTTGCAAAGCTCACCCCCCTTTCAAAGCTTGGTTGATTCAAGGGAGAAATCAACCACAGTTTGGTGTAGGTCCATGGGTCCCATCCTACTAAAACAAGGGGTCTCCAACCTTAGCCCCTTCAAGACTCATGGACTTCAACTCCCAAAATTCTGGGAGTAGAATTTCACAGTTCTTAAAGTTGCCAAGAATTCTCACACAGCATGGCTGGCTGGCGAATCCTAGAAGTTGAAGTCCACAAGTCTTAAGGTTGCCAAGGTTGGAGACCCCTGACCTGGAGACATTCTTAATTTGACGACCTCGTGTCTTACAGGTGGGGTAAGTAATTCCCGAGGCAGGGGTACCTGGCATTTGCAGGGTCCCATACTTAACCTTGATCTTAAATGGGACTCCAGAGAATGGGAGATTTCAGGAAGGCCTGGAGGAACGTTGTCCATGGGGTCGCGATGGCTCGGACACGACTTCGCAACTAACAACCAATATTTAAACCTAGTTGCGGAGTACAGAAATGTGCACAGACCTGTCTTTCTTTTATCCGTACCAGCATTTGCCCCCAGCCCCTGGAGGAGGATGGGGGGGAGGGGCGTTCCTGCCCATCTTGTCTAACGAAGAGGAAGGAAATGTACCCAATCAATTTTCACTTTTGCCTCCGTGGATTAAGAAATGTGTGGGTGCCGTCGCACATCCACTTAGGCAGATTGCTGCCAACGGACCTTCTGTGAGGCTCCTTGGGAAAGTTGGCAGCTTCACTCCTGGGGTTTTTGTCTCCGAGGTAGAAAGCGGGTTCAAGGAAGGAGGCATCTCAGCTCCCAGCAATTAAATCGCTCTTTTTTCCTCCTTCGTGCCATTATATTATACGGCACGGAAGAGAGTGACTCAGCCTTGGCTGGAATCTTCCCCAGCTTCCGAATGGCTCATCATTTTTTAGATGCTTTTAAGGGCTAAATCCACTAGCATTTTGAAGACAGGGTTTTTTTAATTGAATTAAGAACACCCCGAGGATGCCAAGCTGTGTCTCTGGGCATTTCATTTTGTGAAATGACTTTCCGATCTTTTCTTGAAAACCTCCAGGGGTAACCATCAAATTCATCTCTTATCACCAACTAAAAACTCCACTGAAGGTCTTCTTCACCAGAGTGAAATGGAACCGCAGGATCTAACAGTAACAGAGTTGGAAGGGACTTTGGAGGTCATCTAGTCCAACCTCCTGCTCAGGCAGGAGACCTGTACTAGGGATTCGAACCGCCGAACTGCCGACCTTTCTGATCGACAAGCTCAGCGTCTTAGCCGCTGAGCCACCTAGTCAGGCATAATGGATGTAATCAATTCCTTTTTTTAACCCCTTCTGCATTACTGTTTACGAGTTTTCCTGTCTAGGTTAAAAGTGGAATAGAAGTGTTAAGTAGAAGGGTAATCCAAATAACCAGCAGGCTATTATATATCTGCAATCCAAGAGTCCTCCTACGAAACTTAAACCCTAAATTGAAGATAAATGTTTGGCACGGCTCGCCTTCATTTCATTAGATTTTGGTACAAATCTCGCCATTGTCCAAGATGAGGAATGATATCGTTCATCATCCCCCGTGAGGAATTTAGCTCTCGTGGGAGACGAGCCAACCCACAACTGGAACGCCAAATCAAAATTACTGGCGCTGGTCCTTTAGACTTCACGTCGAAACTGGCTCGTGATGTTGGTAGCTCAAAATCCAGTTCCTGCTTGAGACGGCTTCCAAAGGAACAAAACAGCAGATAAACAAAACAGTATTCCCATCCGAATGACATAAGGAACGTTGGACCGGGAGCAAAATGCGAGCTGTAAAACACTAAAAAAGGACGGCCTGTAGTACTTTGCTGACGGATGCCTAAGTAAGCGCACATCTACACACTTCTTACACCAGTGGTGGGATTCAAGTAATTTAACAACCGGTTCTCTGCCCTAATGATTTCTTTCAACAACCAGTTTGCCAAACTGCTCCAAAAGTTAACAACCGGTTCTCCCGAAATGGTGCGAACCGGCTGAATCCCCGCACTGTCTTACACACAAGAGGAGCAACAGTTCTCCTACCTTGCCTACGTCAATACCCACTGCTGGTTTTCGTTTCAATTACAAAAAAAACAACAACACACAAAACCATTTCAAAAATATTCCGATGTCCCTCTTGGGCCAGCTGCAAAATCCTAAATTGGAAAAAAGCCGCTGCAGCCATGCCAAGGTCACTTGTGCTGTTTCCAAAAATATCTTGAAAAATACAAAAGGCAAAGAGGGCCACTTTGTCGGACGTTATCTGGACATACAGAGTTTCAATCGAATTCTTCAAGAAGTGTTAGAATAAAAGCTGGCCACTTGTTTTGACATCCCTGAGTCATCAAAAGGGGGGGGGGAGAGAAAGGGAAGGGGGGAAGGCATATACAGTCGTATTTCTTCTAAAGCTTAGTTGGGGGAAGAGAGAGAGAGAAAAAAAAACAGACCCTAAGGCTTGAAGACTCCTCAATGGTGTCTTCCCAGTTCAGTTTGAATTTAATTGCATTTTGTTCTAATTGCAATGGATTTCCGGCTGGCTAGTTTTAAGGGGCTGCATTGATGTAGAAGAAACAAGGAGAAGAAACCTGGAAGGATTCCCTCCCTCCCCCACAAAATTGTTTTTTTCCTCCTGAAATTTTAATTCCAATGTTTAGTTTTTCTACCCCGGCATTTTTTCATAATATATTCTGCATTTAAGCTGAATAAACAAGGGGATAGCCGGCCTAATAGTTGGGGTACCAAGCATCGATTTTCTGACTTGGTTCATTCTTTTTTTTCTTTTGTGATCGTAATTCTTTTTCATTTGCAGTTGGCAAGAATTGTCCAAAAGTGGTCTTTTATTGCAGTCAGGCAAAGCGAGTTTCTCGTTCGGCCAATTTACAGTTTTAAGATTTTCCGTTGCCAAATTTCTTCAGGGTATTCCTTACAATGGGGGATAAAAAAAAACCCCAAAAACCGGTGACTTGGAAAATCTGATCTTGGGGGCTTATCTTCCCTAACCCCTAAGCCAGTGTTTCTCAACCTTGGTAGCTTGAAGATGGGTGGACTTCAACTGCGCTGGTTGGGGGATTCTGGGAGTTGAAGTCCACCCATCTTCAAGCTACCAAGGTTGAGAAACACTGCCCTAAGCCATCTCAGATCAATACAATTATATGGTCAATTTGTGAAAAGGGTTGACTGGTTTCTTTCTTTCTTTTAATTACTGTATATTGCACTGGTCTTTAATACGATCTAGACCCATTATAAAAAAAGATATAGAAACCTTGGAAAGAGTGCAGAGGAGAGCAGCGAAGATGATGAGGGGCCTGGAGGCTAAAACATAGGAAGAACGGTTGCAGGAATTGGGTGAAGAGGAGGACCAGGGGTGAAATGATAGCACTTTTCTAAGTATTTGAGGGGCTGCGACAAAGAAGAAGGGGTCAACTTATTCTCCAAAGCACCTGAAGGCAGGACAAGAAACGAAGGATGGAAACTCATCAAGGAGAGAAGCAACCTAGAACTAAGGAGGAATTTCCTGACAGTGAGAATTAATCAGTGGAACCACTTGCCTCCAGAAGTTGTAAATGCTCCAACACTGGACGTTTTTAAGAAGATGTTGGATAACCATTTGTCTGAAGTGGTGTAGGGTTTCCTGCCTAAGCAGGGGGTTGGACTAGAAGACCTCCAAGGTCCCTTCCAACTCTGTTATTCTGTTAGACCCTTTGATCATTTTAGCAATGGACAGACGAGATGCCCCTGGAAGCTCCCAAAGAACTCATCGATCCCACCCCTTAGAAATGTACGCAAAGAGAACTGATAATTTGAGGAGGCCTGTTTGATTGGCTTTGTCGTTACCAAGCCGGAGTTTAAATGCTAAAGTTGTCACACTTCCTCAATAGCCTGCTTCCTCCCTAGGCGCCCTGACCAAATTAAGAAACCAGGGAGGAGGAGGGCAGAGAATTAAAAGTCGCATTATTGAGTGTCATTTTTCTTAAGAGCTAAAAATAGCCGCTTTATCTGTTTCTCCAGAATTCTTTGCTTCCCATTGGGGAGGGGGGGGAGGTAATTATAATTTTCTGCTTCAGCTGAGATGAGAAAGTAATTTTGGATGCTGATGAAGTGCGTAATCGGTTTGCTTCTCGGAAGGGCAGCAGGGATGATGCAGAACTTCAAACAGGCTTGCAAAACGGAGGGGGGGGAGGGAATGGACGGACGGACGGACACAGGCTCTGCAGGATGGGGGTTCCAGGTTTGGCAGTATTGCTGCTGCCAAAAGAAGATGCTTGTTTGAATTTAATCTCACCTATTGACTGCCTTCTTCCTTCCTTCCTTCCTTCCTTCCCTTCTTTCCTTCCTTCCTTCCGTTAGGACTGTTGGGAAGATCAAAAGAAGACAATATGAAAGTGGGAAATAAAACGACTGCATCCCATTACAGTGCTATTCAAATTCATGAAGTCTAAATGACATTTTTGCCTGCCAAGGATGGGAGGTCTTCCAAGATAATTATTTCAACCATGCGTTTTGCACTAACAGAGAAGAAACAACATTCTCTCTCCAATGGTCCATTCCCGAAGATAAAACCTACGAAGGGAGCAATACGTTTTCAGACCTAACCCTAATCACCGCTTGGAGATTTCCAAAACGCAGCTGCTGCAGCCTCTGTTGTAGCTAAAATGATTTAGTGGAGAATAAATGTGATTTAGCGTCTCCTGGGGTAGCATTTTGAGATGTCAGTGAAAACTTCCAAGTCCCATTAAACTGCCACCGAGGCTTCAACGATTATTCAGGATGTAAATCCTGAACTACTTTCCGCCAGAGACCCTTCCCCAATCTATTTATATTTCCTGCCCCTCTGCCAAAATACGTCTTTCCACACCTTGGGACCGAGCAAGGACTTCCTGCTCCTCTCTCGCCGTCGATCGAATTAGACCAGGTTTAAATTTATCCTCCCGGGGGGGCTACGAGGCTTCGGCAATCTGCTGACCCAATGCCTTAACCGATAGACCAAACTGGCTCCTTTAGTTGGGAGAAAACATCCTGCGCCTCTTCCTGATACTATCTCCTTTCCCAGGGCTGAAGAAATGCTTTGGCTTGCTTTTGTGAACGACATCTGAATATTCTCTTCAAGGCCATCTCCATGGCTACCTACAGCGTATAGTATAATGACTTTAGACTTGTATTCACTCACTCACCACCTGCAAGATTAAGCAAAAATGTTTAGCATGTCCGCCAAATGTTGGAAATGCAATCCGACTCCAGGTACTTATTATCATATGTGGTGGATGTGTATGAAAGCAAGAAAATATCAGACGAAAATACATAACACGGTTGGAAAAGATGATTAAGCAGCATATAGATTTAAAGCCAGAAAGATTTTCGTTCGGTATAATACCAGAAAGCTATGACACAGGGACTATATACTTAATGCTACATGTATTGACAGCAGCGAGAATTGTATTTGCGCAATATTGGAAAAATGAGAACACCCCTCCCGATGAAAATATAATTCAGAAAATATTGGGTTGTGCGGAGATGGATAGATTGACACTGAACATAAAAGATAAAGGAGATAAGAGTATTATTTAACGTGGAATAGGTTTTATCAATAGTTAGAGATAAGAGATAGAAATTAGATGAAGAAAGAGCATTGTTATGTTTAAATAAAATATGAATGTTGTTTATAACTATAAGTATGCTAATATAATGGGATAAATAAGCTAATATAATTATAAATATCATTAGAATCATTATGTATATTATTACTACCCTGTTTCCCCTAAAATAAGACATCCCCTGATAATAAGCCCAAATGGTCATTTGAGCGCATGCACTAAAATAAGCCCTCCCTGAAAATATTTAAACGCACGTGCAGCTGGTCCCTGCCATTTCCTCTGGTTTCCTCCAAGCGCCCCAAAATAATAAGACCTCCCCAAAAATAAGGCCAAGTGCTTATTTCGGGGTTCAAAAAAATATAAGACAGGGTCTTATTTTCAGGGAAACACGGTATCAGTATAGCTATTATTTTTTATTTTTTTCTTCTGTAAAATAGAATGCCTGGACAATACACTATATTCAAAATACTTAAATTAAAAATAACTTGACTAAAAAAAAAAAGAAGAGGAAATTAAGATTGGAGGATAGAATTTGCCCAGTCGTGTTCATGACCTTAAGCATGGGTAAGATCCGAATCCGTCTCTCGAAGCCTGTTTTTCACGTTTCATTTATTTAGGCATAACTGCGCTATTCTTCCTTCAAAGGTGCACCTAAAAAAATTGCAAATGCACATGTGTGATTCATCCACGTTCCTCAGCAAGACCAGTTTTATGAGTTCTTGGCAGAAAAGAAAACGTCTCATTTCCCCGGAGCAGGGATTCGATTCAATGAACACCCAGAGACAACGTGGAAAGAAACACGCTACAAATAACTTTATTGTCTTCCAGGCTAAGGACAAACAAGGATCAGCCAGTTCGAAGAGAGGCAGGGCATGCATGCGGAACGCCACCAGGAAGTCGGCGACAGAATAGAAGCCCGAGAAGGGAATCTTTAAAAAAAAAAATCAACACAAAAATAAACATTCGGAAGTGGGCTCACTAAAAGTCAAGCGAATGAGAAAAGGCCGAGGAACTTCAGGTTGTACGGTGCTGAAGCTTTGGGTTTGGATCCAGGAGAATTAAGGAAATTGTCCCTCCTGCGTTTTGGTCTTTCAGCAACCAGGTGGGTCCACGGGGGCAGCTCCAAGGAGGAATCAAGGCCCTCATCGGGGTTTACACATCTGTGGGCTACAGGAAACTTGGGCCACAACGTCCTTGTAGTCTGTGCGTTTTTTTTTTTCCTTCAAAAAATTCAAAAGTCCTTCCTCGACTTGGTTACTGGAATTGTGGAAGGGAATTTTAAGAACGTTGGTTTTGGGCCAAAAGGATGAAAATGATGTTCCTGAGTTGGTGAGGACCTGTGTGACTTGAACCTGGCTTGGTGTCGCATCATCTACAACCCCAGATGTAGATCAAAACTATCCTAATCCTGCTTTTTTTTGTCTCCCTCCTTCTTTGGAATGACTCTTAAATTTGAACGGAATTGCATCGGCGCCACCTTCTCAATGCTTTAATCCCTTGACTGACTTTTGACCGAGGGAAGGCTGGTCCATGCATCAGCAAAATAAAAGAATTTTCCCCCCACTCCTTCTAAGAAGGAACAAATGAAGCCCACCTACCCCAACCCTGTTCTAGTTAAGAACTTTTTAGCTAAACTCCTGAAGCACGGCAAATCTCATTATTTGCATCGAAACCATCGTAAAGCCCGGCCAACATTCGCCACAGATTTGCTGGAGGAAGAATGGCTCTTTCGGGATGACCTAGATGTCGGCCAAGTTGCGTTCACAAGACCAGGCGGTCTTCTCCGTCTTCCTGAATGACTTGGCCCACCGAGGCCGGGTTCTGTTGCTTGAGAAAACATTCTCTTTTGCACTCCATCAGAAGCTGGAGATCTCGCCACATTTTGACTTGCTTCAGGTTGGGGCCATGACTTTCCCGGACAGATTTCTGCTTCTCGCGCAGTTTCTGATATTAAAAAAAAAGAGAAAAAGAGAGAAAGAGAGATGCTGTCTAGGGAGGGGTCCTGATGATTATCTTCTTTTAACGACCCCATAATCCCTTGTGGGTTTGAGTCTGGGCAATTGAATGGAGCTGAGTGTTTACTGGCCTGATGCCTTTCCTGTCGCCAGTACGGAGTTTTGTTCAGCAGATACATTCTCATTGTGCCCAGAGAGAGAAATATCTGCCTCTACCTAGGATCAAACTCACAGCCTCCTGATTGTGAGGTGAGAGCTCCACCTCTAGGTCACCGCACCACTCAGGGAATGGTCCTGATCCGTTGGTTTATTTACTTACTGTCCCCAACTACCTCCATTCAGAGGTTTTCGGCAGCTAACTATGTTGCTTCAAAATGAAATACTACTTCAACTCCAGAGCCACAGCAGAGTTTAAAGTATATGAGGACTTCCAAATAAATCTTCATTCTTTTATTCTTTTTGGCTTTCCTTTCTTGTTTATCATTTTTTTTAAAAAAAATGTTTAGCTGATTGCATTAAACAACATCAGAAAAAGTTTAGATAAGGCCTCAGCTCAAGTTTGAATAGCGGATTAAAATCATATTTTGGAAACTTGAGACTGTCTTAAAAGTCACAAAGACAGATCTCCTTGGGAAGAAAAGCAACATGTACGTGACCGGTTTGTAAGAACATCAAAGACAGTTGGTTTGAAAAATTAATTCTTTCTACATGCTGCTCCAAAGCCAACTGCCAAGAAAGGGATAGAAAACGGATGGCAGGTCCTTTTTGTAAAAATAGGACGGCGCGCCACTAAATACCGTGTTTATCTGCGGCCAACTGCTGTGTGCACCACTGATCTGGCAAAACAATGCCTTCTTTCGGAGGTTTCTGCCGAAGATGCCTTTTGGAAGCGATAGTCCATTAGCTCAGGCAGTATCTGTAGGAAGCTGACTTCGCAACTGTTTGTGTAGTTTATTTTAAGAAGGCAACTTCTCTGCGTCTAAATCCGAATGGTTTTTAGGAGCTGTGCCTACTAGGCATTGTATAAATCAGGGGTGTCCAACCTTGGTCATTTTAAGACTTGTGGACCTCAACTCCCGGTGATGCTGGCTGGAGAATTCTGGGAGCTGAAGTCCACAATTCTGGCTGGGGAATTCTGGGAGTTGAAGTCCACATGTCCTAGAGTGGCCAAGGCTGGACGCCCTTGGTCTAAAAGAGAAATCAATAACGTTCATCCATTCCTACCTTTCCAAGGTTCTCTTGTTCTGTGATCATCTTGGAATACTGATCCCTACGGAAAACAAGCCATTGAAGAACAAGAGTTATATCGCAATTTTAGGATGTTTGGAAGTACTTCGGGTGTGTTGTCTGACAAGAAGCTCCTTAAGATAGGTTACACGGGGCAACTCACAGGCTAACAACAACACAGTCCTTGGAACTACGGAGAACCCAGGCGTTTTCCCCACCATCCTCTCCCCACTCTGCTAAGGTAGGGGGCAGATCCCTGATTTCCTGTCGTGGGAAGCCAGAAAGTGCAGGAAGGATGTGGGGAAGTCTCTTTGAACCTCTTTTTTTTCTCAGCAACTCGGCTGAAAACTCGCTGCCTTCCTAGAAAAGGATCTCCAAGGGAGTTGCAAGGAAGAAGAAAGAAGCCCCAGGGTTTCCCTTCTCCTCCCATCAAACCTCTGAAGCCATGGTGCTGGTGAAGACTATATAAGAGGTGTAAATAAGGCATAAGCAAGCTGGGTGACCTTGGGCCAATCACCAGGAGACGGCGAGTTCTAGTCCCACCTTAGGTATGAAAGCCAGCTGGGTGGCTTTGGGCCAGTCCTACTCTCTCAGCCCAACCCACCTCAGAGGATTGTGGTTGGGGGGAAAAGAGGAGGGAGGGAGGGATGAGGATTAGGTGTGCTCATCGCCTGGAGTCATTTATTAAAATATAATAGCAATAGCACTTAGACTTACATACCGCTTTCCAGTGCTTTCCAGCCCTCTCTAAGCCATTTACAGAATCAGCACATTGCCCTCCAACAATTTGGGTCCTCATTTTACCCACCTCGGAAGGGTTGAAGGTTGAGTCAACCTTGTAAAGGTGGGACACAAATACATAAGTAACTTTCTCATATAGCAAGAAATGAAGTGATGTAGGGTAAGGAGTGGCAGACTCTGGGGTGGGGGGCGGAGTGAAAAGAGGAATTAGACTAGAATCCCCACGTAGCCATAAGTGAACGAAATCCAACTCCCCTTGAATTCCGTGGAACCTCCTCTAACTCCTAACAGGTGCTGAGAAGATTCCTCTGCACAGCCATTCGTAGCAATAAATCAGTTTAACTGGACCTTCGCGTTTGTGGGCCTGATCCTTCGTACCTGACAGGTGACCTACTTTCTCTCCCTTCTACTACCAAGACATTTAGACCTTCACTCCGTTCTCATTTTCCAGGCTGTCCACCCCCCCGTCCCCAAACATCATTTTCCGATGGGAGAAGAGATATTTGCGTCAGGAACACATTTTCCACTCGGAGGTCAGGATCTTCTCTTTGCTTCTTTTGGCAACAGGACGTCCTTACCTTCCAGGCCATTACCTTAGGATCTCTCCCAGGATTCGCAGATCTGTTTGTTTTTCTGCTTTTTTTTTTTTTTTTTTAATTTAAAAAAAGGCCGGCTCCTGAAACCAGATTTGTTTTCTTTTCTTGGCTATTTAAACGATGCTTGGAAAGAATGCCGCTTAATTTTGAAAGTGAACGGCTATTTTTAGAGAGCCAAATTAACTTTTTTGCATTCCTGACGGCTGACTCCATGGAACAGAGATGGGGAAGGGATCAGGAGGACGAAGGAACTTCTGGTTCCCAACTTCGGGGGCCCGATGTTTATGGGTTGTCGGAATGCGGCTTCCATTCCAGGGCTTACCGAAGGATTTGGAGAAACTCATTTGCTGGCCCGCGCAGGTGGTTGGCTTGTCCAAACCTTCTGACGAAGAGAAGTCGGATGGTTTGGGCATTTTTTGGGGGG